CTATATAAAATATATATTTTTAAAAAACAAAACCCACCAGATTTTAGTTTATTTGTTTGACCTTAAGAATTTGCCAGTGGACACTCCAGGTTTCAAGGGGCCAATCCAGCAAAAGTTAGTTGCAACTACACTTGACTGACATTTTCTAAACAGGATAATTAAATCAGCTTCAAATACTAATTAGTTGAACTGTATAATTATTTCTTTCCATGCAGGGCTAAAACATGGGCCTGGATCATCGAATGCATTTACAGTGGTACCTCAGGTTAAGTATTTAATTCGTTCCGGAGGTCTGTTCTTAACCTGAAACTGTTCTTAACCTGAAGCACCACTTTAGCTAATGGGGCCTCCTGCTGCTGCTGCACCGCCGCTGTACAATTTCTGTTTTCATCCTGAAGCAAAGTTCTTAACCTGAGGTAATATTTCTGGGTTAACCGGAGTCTGTAACCTGAAGCGTATGTAACCTGAAGCGTATGTAACCTGAGGTACCACTGTATTTTATTAGAGAATTGTTATTTTGTTCTTCAGCCAGAACAGGCTCTCAATAGAGATTTAGTGTTTAGTTCAGTTCGTGACTCTTTTCTGTTTGTCAGCTATGTTATAGTAAATATAAAAAATAGGTTTATTAGCATAAGGGTGCTTCATGATTTCTTTAGTGAATTAATCTGGAGGGGCGAATGGCACACACTGCCTTCTGGATACTGTTGTCCAGTATCCACAATCACAGTGAAAGTTAGAACAAATCTTCCATGGTTTACATAGCATTTAGAGTATTAAAAGCATAGTAAAAGCCTTGTGTTTATGAAACATACATATGTTTTATTTATTTACTCACATTTATATTCCATCTCTCCTCCCACTCGGGGTGCTTCCAAATGAGTGTTTATTGTGAGGTGTTTTTTGTTTTATTTTTTGCAGTGCTCACATGTCATTGGTAGCCCAAATTTTTCGCTCTCTGAACCCAGATGTACTATTTGTGGAGGAAATCCAGGAAATTAATAGTTAAATAGAACCATTGTGAATAAACAAATCAGAACTTTCTCATTTATAATGTGATCCTTGGCTGTTCTGTAGTTTTCAGTGTTTAGTTCAGTTCATGACTCTTTTCTGTTACACAGTCTTTGTCAACTTCTTTATAGTAAATATAAAAAATAGAATTTCTTAGCATAACAGTGCTTTCAGGTAGTCTGTGTTGTAAATGGGGAGGGGGTCATTCAGGTATTGCAAATGGGTTATTGACAACAGTTTTTCATTTATCATACTTCCCCCAGAAAGGGTAAATCAAGATTAAGGGCTTCCAGATTGAATCCTACCCATAAAATTGAGTCAAACAGATACCAGCAAAATTCAGATGGCAGTTTAAAAGGATTTGGCACTCTACTGCAATAAAGCTACTTTCCCCACAAAAATCAGACTTTTGTGGTAAGCAAATGCACTGAAGATGATGGGATAAGCCTGGTTTGATGCAATGTGATATAACTTGCCTCTTAACAAATCAGAATGAACGCTCAATACACAACCCAGGCTCCCAGGCTGTGAAAACAAATCAGGTTAAAAGCTCAATATGGAAGTAGGCTAAAAACAACAGGCTAACATGCCAACGTTGGGTGCGTGTTGCAAAAATGTGCGTACATGAGGTGCATTCATTCCACAATATACACCCACCTGGAAGCACCCTACCACTCTGGATGATTCCAGACTGCCATTTGTGAGTGGGATTCAGTCTTGTTTTGACGGCAAATTTAAGTTGTGCAAGGAAAGTTGATTCATCTCCCTTGCCCGATCAGACTTATTGCGATAAGGAAAACGAGAGGGACAATATGCACTGGGGAGTGGGCGATACCGTTTACTTGAGGCAATGTCCTATAACAAATCAGGAGGAATGCTCAGTAAAGAGGTCACCTGGAAGTGGCCTCTATGTTCAGGGTAGCAAAAAGAGCTTTTCCACACTAAGCCCCATCCTTAAAAGAAAAGCCAACAGAGGTGACCAGCACACCCCGACTCTCAGCTTTAAGGTTGTGGCCCTATTATGCGCATTTACCAATACATCTCTCTGAACACACTGGATCTTAATAGGGAGTAAAGATGCGCAGGATCGCGCTGCACATCACTTGCTTCTAATGACGTGAGACTTGCAGCGGGTCTGGGCTTACACTGCACTTTCCTCAAATAATTACGAGCCTTCTCTCGCAAATAGTATTTTTATTCGTGCATCAAATGCATATTTACAGTGAACGGAGCTGATAGGAATATATACTGTACAAATCTGCTCCTGCACGCATGCACAGACTTCTTTGAGCGGCTTCCCAGGCAGAAGCGAAGGCAATTTTACCTTGAACAAATGACCTCATTCATATTCTCTTCCCCGCCCCATTTCTGTAAACTAGCACCGGAGGTCTGAGCATGCGCAGTGGCGATCATTATCCGGCAGCCTTCGCGACAAGTGCAGACGTCATGAGAAAGCAGAGCCGGCTTGGAGGCCTGCTTAATTTGCATATCCCATCATACATTGCGCGGAAGGCCATAGATGATAAAATTTAAATACTTTTATTAATGTTTTTGTTTCGAACCCGATTATTAAACTGGCCTTGTCACCCTGGAAATCTACTGTTTACTCAAAGGATTACTTTGGACAGGTCCGTTAGGTATTCGCCCTCACCTGCGAGGCTGTTGACTGATCTCCGGTAGAGGCGCCCGAAGGCTTTTCCGCATACTCTGGTTTCTCTTCAGATCGTATAAATCTTTCGCCTTTTACTAAAGATTTCCGTGGAGAGGAACATTTATGAGTTTACAACTAATTTTTTGAGGCTCTGTTTTGGCAGAGCTGTCTTATACGGTTTCAAAAAGTAGAATAAACTATTTTTTCTTTGAGTGGGTGTTTGGCGTTGTCCTTTTAATTTCATATTATTTATTTATGTGTTTCTGAGGCTGTAAGATGGGTGATAGATCTGTGGTTTTTCTATTCTTAGGAAAGTGTGGGGTTAGAAGTGAGATGTGTTTTTGTTGGTGTACCAGTTGGAGATGGGCTATTATATATATATATATTTTTTAATAATTTTTTTATTAAGGTTTTAAACAAAGAAAAAAAGAAAAACAACACACACACACAAAAAAAATACAAAATTTAACAATAAAAACACAAAACGTAACAATTAAAAACAAACTCTCTTTTCCATTCCCAATTTTAAATTACTTATTTTCTGGACTTCCTCATACCTCCCTCTTTTGTATTCCAATCTACATTATTTGTCCAGTTTCTTTTCCACTTTTTTAAACTCAATCTTTAATTTAATAAAGTGTTAAAATATATAACTTCAACTTTTTTTTAAATCTAATCCTTGTTCTTAATGTAATATACCTTAAAATTTTTCCCTTTTATTATCAAATTTCCATTTCTTTAAACATCTTTAATCTTGATCTTTAATCTTAATCTATCCTTAACTTTAACCTGTACAGCTGGAAACCACTTATTTTCAATCCAACATCACTCTAACATTCCTTAATTTTGCAGTGTTTCTGAAGATAGTCTTTGAATTTCTTCCAGGAGATGGGCTATTATAAATAGTTTTGGGGTTTCTTTACTGCTTTCAACATTGCTCTTCCTTTTGGGGTTCTGTCTGAGTTGCATGATCTTAAAGAATATGAATTATGTTACTTCTCATCTCCATGTTAACATCATATTTAACCCTACTCTTAAAATCTAGAAATAAATAGTATTGTTTGCCAAGAAAATTATGTGTCTATGGTTATTTTTGTAATTTGTGTGTAATTTGGTATTTGTGTTTTTTTGTGTGTGTTTTTTTCTTGTTGTATAAATAAATATTAAAAAAAATAAAATAATAATAATAAAAAAGAAATAAATAGTATATCACTTAAACAACAATGGAATGACCGTGTATTTATTGATCAAAAGCACCCAGCAACCCTCACATTTCTGTTCTTAAATTTCCTGAGCAAATTAATTACTCCCAGTGTTTTAGCACATTTGTCTTGCTTCTGTTATTATGGATAGAGTCCCCGGTCAAGGCGGTTCAAGATATGTGAATCCCAAGATGGTACAATGTACAAACACAAAACATTATGGTACTCCAGTGTTTGTTAGAGTTGATGTTTGTTATGGTTATAGTATGTTTGCCTTGTAAGTGATCAATAGTGGAAAAATAATTTAAAAACAAAAGCACAAAGCAAACAGTAGATTATTCCCAAAATCTGAACATTCATGTTTAATACCATATACTTAAATAATCATATGACTATAATAACTGGTTGCAGGCATGTATCTGGGTGTATGGTAAGTCTCATGGAACTCAATAGGACTTCCTTCTGAGTAGACTAACATAGAATCATCCTGTAAAGGCGTTCTTTAATCATTCTCCCAGTATCTTCCTTTACATCTTTCACCACATCTCAGTATTGTTTATAATACCCAGTTCTGGTAATAATGTTTGTCACAGGGGTTTATGTAATACATGAATTGAAAGTAATATTGGTGTGGGAAGTGAGTGTAATATTGGTGGTAGAATCAATGATCAATATTAGTTTTACTTGTGATGTACTTAGTTTGGGTCATGGAATAACATGCAGACATAGCATTTTGTGATGCAAGTAATGCACAGCATTACTAGAACCCCTGTTTTTTCTCCCTTTTTTAAATTAACAAACAATAAGAAGTAGTAGTTCAATTTATATATATATATATTCCATTCTGATGGTAACACATGTAAAATGTTGGAATCCTATTTCATAAACATTTGCCTTTTTCCATAAATTGAAAAAGAGAAATAAAGAAATATTGATTCCACTCCACTACTTCCTTTTTACTGCCTTATCTACTGGTGTTTTAAGACAGTATCTGGTGCACTGGGTCACTTTTTAATAGGGTGGGGGGCTGCAGGACCATTTTCACTAGAAACAATAGAAGGAAACACTTGTTCAACCCAGCTTCCTATATCAGACTTGATGTTTGAAGGGAAGCATATGAAAGAGCAGTGAGAGAAGCCAGCTACTTGGCTGTACAATCCAAAAGCAGCTCCAAGACAGCTTAACAAGAAGCAACGCCAGCAGGTAAGGGAGATTCATGGCTCAAATTGATGAGGATGCAGGAGCCACACAACAGGGAGCAGCACATGAGAATGATAAAAGCCTGAATCCAGTTTGTGCCCCTAAAGAGATACTTGTTTTAGCAAAGGGGTTTCCTTATCATAGACTATAACATTTAAGTGGGTTTTGGGGTGTTTTGAAGGCTAGTGACAGTGAGGATTGTTGAAGGCTATGTAGCATAGCAAAAATGGGAAAAAGTATCCAGATTTAATTGTGAAACCAATATGTATGCTCCAAATAGGTACAACCATCCACTGATGAATGAGAGACTCTGATTGCATAATGCAGTTAACAGACTGTTTTTACTTTGAAGGATCTCAGGTCTTTACATTGGCACACTTGCCTTGCATTTCCCAGCAATTGAGACCACAGTATTAGTGTTGTAACCCACACTGAAGGGTGGGTAAGAAAGAAATAACAGTAGTGAGTTTTGCTCCCAGAAAGTGCATGATGCTGTATTTGAATTATTTTCAGGTTGACATTTGATGATGGTGTGTGCACAAGGACCATCTGCCCAAAGGATATGTGTACTGTGTGTTGTGGTTGTGCAAATGACATTAGCATGTATAGCTTTATGTTCATTACATCACTAATGAAAAATGACCCAGCTCTCTCCATTCATACTGGGCCGTTTTGTATTTATGTTATTTTTACGTCTTTAATGACAGGACACTCTCATCATAATTTCTTTTACAGGTTTCTAATCTCACTTAAAATGTATTAAGAAACATATGGTTGCTACCCCCTTCCAATGACTGAATACAAATCTAGAACTATGTAAAAGCATAACCTGGCTATCGCTTTGCTACAATTAATCAAAATTCACCATTTTTGTTAATTCACATGCTTGCTGGACTGAAACAGTCTTCCTAGTATTCCTAATAGTGGTGTCTAGTGCCCATTGGAACTGATAGGGTGAAAGGCATAAAGGTCAACACTAGGTAGAGCCAGAGCCAATGACAGAACCAACTAATTCTCATTTTGCCCCCATCCTCCTGCCTGTTGAGTTCTGCAAGAGGCCACACTGAGACTGAGGAAGGGGAGGAAACTGCCGCCTCCTGTTCTGGGTGTAAGAAAGAAGGCTGGCAGGCAGGAGCTGGCTGAGGGCAGACTAAGGTTGGTGGGGCAGTGACCCATTTGCCATAATAGACCAACCTCCCTAACAGTGCAGCCCTGTGCACAGTAACCTGAAAGCAAGTCACAGTGTGAGCTTACTCACTAGTAAATGCATGGAGGATTTCAAGACCAGAACTGCCACTGATGTGAGTTTCATCTACAGAAATCCCTACCCAGGTTTTGAGAGCTTAACTAGCATGGATGAACATTAATTAAGTGGAAATTAGGTACTGCCTGCTGCTTCTTGATCAAAGTTAGGGCTAATGTGGTACAGAGAGTTAAAAGCTATTTGCTTTTCCATCACTGAAAAGCCCCTTAACCCAATAGGGTGAACCTGTGGCTCTCAATCTGAAGTTGGACTCCAACTAGGTCCAATAGCTCAGCAACCTCACAAGGGCCACCAGTTCTCTTCTAGAAAATGTGCAGATCCATATAAAACCACCTAATGGGCATCACTGCTGTTGTCATTATGTAGACAGGGGATGTGGCTGTTTCATGTATTGTAGAGTCAGATAGCAAATATAACATGTTAGGACAGGAGAATCTTGGGCAATTTATACATCAATTATAGAGCTTGCCTGGGGACTTTCCTAGTTCTTCTCCCTATAGCTTTTCCATGTGTGGATTTATATTTTACTCACATCCATAAAATCACAATTTGCATATGGTTTTATTTGAGTGGAACAGTATGTTTCAGTTGTGTTTTATTTATGCATATTGGCTGCCTTTGGAACGCTTGGCCTGAAAGCTAGCATAGACACAGGTATTTTAAAAATGAGTAAGATTATCTGATGCAGAATGTCACATCCCAAGAATTGCCATTTTAATTTATAAGCTAGAGCAAGTTTCTACTCTGCACTCTCAAATAAATCTGTTTTTCAGGGCAAAAAACAAACCCCCAACTTCCTGTGTTTCTTGGCCACATGGACTGAAGTCACAGAGCCCATTCATCTCATGCCCATCTAGAGAATAGTAGCTTATGCTCAAATTGTCACAACACTCACCAGAGATAATTTAACAGCAGACACTTTTCAAATACCACCAGAGGGAGGGAAATCAAGGGCAAAGAGGTCTTATGCCAGTGTTTCCTGCTTTCCAGATTGCTGAATCAGTATATTTTTAGCTGTAAATTATACCCCTGACTGAAACAAAAGGAGGAAGCCCCAACACCCTCACTGTTTGCTTCCAGAGGCCAGTTAACTGCTTTCTAGAGGGGTAGCGGTGCTACTAAGTTGTTTTAAGAACAGTAAGAGTATTTTGCAGCCTTTTAAAGACTAATAAATGCATTATGGCATAAGCTTTTGATGGAGAGCCTTCTCCAACCTCGTGCCACAGGCAGATTTAGGGGAGGAGCAAGGCCGGTTCGCCTGCACTAGGTACCCAGCTGAGAGGGCGCCACAACGATGATGTAGAACAGAGGCGGGGAGCTGTGTGGATTTAGGTGTTGCACAGGGCACTGCTGAAATTTGGAAGCCCCAAATCTGCCTCTCCTGCTTGTGCCCTGCATATGGTTTGGACTATGGACACAGCCACTTCCTAGAAGATTATGTCCTGCACATGCATGGAAGTCTTCTGCAGCATCCACACATCGCATCAAAATAGCAGCCCACACTTTCCTCCTTAATTCAGATTTCCCTGCTGTTTCTGGGTTGTTTTTAACTTACTGGACAGGATTAAGCCAAGAAGACCTAGGACTGTGGTAAGAGGAAGTGGAAAGTATGTCAGTTAGTGCTAATGTGGTAGGGGAGGCCACGGAAGGCCAAGTGACTCTTACTCTCCCTTGCCTTGAAAAGCTGGGTGTTTCAACAAGGGATTACCAGCAAAGAGACAGCAAGAATGATGGCTAGAGAGCAACTGGGGGAAAGTGTGACGATCAGTCTGAGTCTGCCTGAAGGCCTATCCAAGTGACAGTGTCAACTGCAGAGAAATCTTGTTCTACTATAAAAGCTTTTATGGGTTGTGAAGGGGTGAAGAGATTTGCTCCTTTCTTATCCCGTCAGTCTAGGACATGGGAAGTTAACATGCTGCCCTCCATAAGTTCTTGTATTACAACTCCCATCAGGCCCTGCCAGCATGGTCAATGATCAGGGATGATGGGAGTTGTAGTCTGCTCCGCCCCTGCCCCCCCAAACAACCCCACACAATCTGGAGGGCACCACATTGACCACCCCGGGTCTAGGGCTCAGACACGTGCCAGAACAGCACACGGAAGCCTATTTTAACCTTAAGTATGAAGACTGAACAGCATTAAGGTGACTTCACACATCTTTGCCAAAGCCCCTTCGTGCACAGCAATGTAAGCTTTTGAGCTGGGGAGACGTGGTGGGATGCATGTATAATTCTGACACATCTTCATCATGCAATTGATCAGAAAAGGCTCTGGCTGAGCAGAGCTGCATCCCAGACTACTTGCTGGTTTCTGAAGTGTATTTAATTATTTCAGTCTGCTTTAAATTACAGTATTATGGCTCAGCGCTGGTGTGTGGCCTTTGCTCTGTCACTACTGTGGATCATTGCCAGCCCAGAGCTCCTGGACCGTTCCCAATGCCCCATCGGTTGCAGCTGCTCTTTCACAGACTGGTTTATCCGGTGCTCCAATGCCAGCCTCTCTTCTCTGCCCGCTGGTATCCCACAAGCCACAGTGGAGCTTGATCTGCAGTTCAATCAGCTTGGCAGCCTGCTGGCAGCCTCTTTCCCAGATTTGCCCGAGCTCACCACGCTTTTCCTTGGGAGCAACCAAGTGCGCCGGATTGAAGCAGGAACCTTTCTCGGTGTAAAGAATTTATACCACCTCCACTTGGACAACAATCTCCTTGAAGAGATCCCAGAAGGGGCATTTGAAAACCTGACCAATCTAGTCTTTCTGCACCTGGAGCACAATCGGATTGCTTACCTTTCACCAGGTATTTATAGATGGGTGTTTCCCCCCCCCTCATTGCTAAGGTAGTGATTATCCCCCTCACTTTCATTCCCAACAGTTTTAGGGTATGAATTGTAGGGAAAGGATGCCTTTGGGATGAATGAGTGGACACATAAGACTTAGAAAAATACCAGCAGCTGACCAATTTAGAAGCTAAGCACAAAGCTGATGTGGAGTAACTTCACTGAAATTGGCTAGTTCAAGCCCTCTATGAATTACCGTATTTTCCCGTCTATAAGATGCCCCCATATGTAAGACACCCCCTAATTTTTGACATTATTTTAAAGGGGAAAAACCTAGTCTTATACAGTACACAGAAAAATACGGTATTTCAGCATAAATTCAATATGGATCTATTCAGTTGAGGCAAACATCTCTTTTCAACAGCAATAAAGTAGGCCCACGGTATTACTGCTACTGATAATGACGCTCATTTTTTATGTGCGATAGGCCAGATTCTGGTGCCCTATAGCTTATTCTGGTGCCCTTCCTGTTGCCTTTTGTATTTCTTATGGCACAAAAGAAGATTCTTATTTTACTCTTGGTGTGGAAGAAGGGAGAGAGCTCTTGACATTCTCTGCAAATTTTATAAAATTAAATTCTAACACAAACAAGGATGCAGGTCTGTAATTTTTGCCTGAAAGTTCTGTCCTGTCCTGATGACACCACTGAGCACAAGACCACATTCAGTGCCACAGTATTGCAGGAGGGACCAAGAGGTTAAATCTGAATATCTCTAGAGATTACACACACACACACACACACACACACACACACACACCGTAAACCAACTTGCCTATGAGGAAAGACAAGTTAACCTGGCATCATCCTGAGGTGTCAGGTGGGGGGAGTCTTGGGAACAAACTAGATATCATCAAACACAAATGTGCACCATGAAAAGTAGAAACTGGCCAACAATATTCATTTTATTTATTAATTAAAATAGTTATATGCTGTCTCTCAAGTCACAGTTCTGCAAGGACCAAATGATAGGCTAGTTTCTGTTGTGCCATGTTCAAATCCCACTGCTAGCACCATGTGATGTCTGGTTCTCAAAAGTTCTGTGAAACACACTGAGTAAGGCTCAGGCCTCCCATATAGCAACAACTTTGTTCATTAATCTGAGCACAAGCAAGTATAAACACACACCCAGAGAAGGAACCCTAGACCTAAGCACTTGGTTGCTTAAGCACTTTTCACCTGTGCTGGAAAGCAGTTCACAGATGTGCTCTGCACATCATTACCACCCTGGGGAGGACAGAAGTGGGATGGAGTTACTAGCTCTCAGCTCAAGGCAGCTCTTACTTCCACTCTCTCTTTTGCCTAGGTGCATTCTCCTCTTTGAAGCGACTGAGTCTGCTAGACTTGAGTCACAACCTGTTGACTGAACTTTCAGACCAGGCCCTTGGTGGTCTCCAGCAGCTACGCAAACTTCACCTCAGTGCTAACCTTATTGCCAACTTGTCAGCCAGAGCTCTCCCGGGCAACATGCGGATCCTCTACCTCGACTGGAACAGGCTGAAAAGTGTGCCGCTTGCCGTCCGCACCTCGGCCACTCTCTCCAGCCTTGATCTTAGTGGCAACCCAATCCAGGAGCTGACATCTCTCTCCTTTGGGAGGAAGCTCAGCTCGCTGAGGCAGCTGTTCTTAGAAAACCTGTGCATGGAGAACATTACCAGCTCAACGTTCAAACGGCTACGCAGACTCGAGGTCTTGAGCCTGAGGAACAATAGTTTGGAGTCGCTGTCACCTCTGTCATCGCTGAAGTATCTCTCGACTTTGTATCTGACTGGGAACAAGTGGCGCTGTGACTGCAACTTAATCTGGCTTCGCACCTGGCAGAAGCAAGTAGTAAGAAAAGATCGCAGCCCAGTGGAATGCAGTTCCCCGGAAGCCCTTCAGGGACAACAACTGGCTAATGTAGAGGTAATGAACAATCTGAATCACACTGACAGACCCCAGAAACACCTTGCAAATAGAACTGTCGAAGCAAGAGGGGGGGAACAGACACCCCTCTCCATCTGCCATCCAGGGTAGCAAGGGACATTATCACAGTTCAAGGGCAAAATTTTAGCCACCTGAGGATACTGATCCTTGATTATTTTGTATAACAGACAGAAAAGAGCCTAGAGATAGTCTAAAGCTGGGCCACAAGACAATTTCCCCAGAGTTGAAAGTGGTATGAAACAGGAACACTTGTTTGGGGTGTGTCCACTAGTCTCTGGCAAACAGGTTTTGTAGGTTTTTATAATGCTTCAAGAATATACAAAGCCTGTTAGCTAGAGGCAGACAACAATGGGGCAGAATAAATGAGTGTGTACATCACAGGCAATGTTGTCATCCAACCACATTCATTTCTCTTTAAGCATTCTCTGTCTGCAGCAAAATGGGTCACTGAAGGAAGTAGTGGCAACGCTAAATTCAACTCTGAAGTCATAAGAGCTTTCTTAGGAAGCTGTAACATTCTGTACGTTACACTTACTTGTCATGTACTAAAACGAAGAGCCTTCATTTAGACATTACGTATAAAGGAGAGAGCAAGTGTGACACACATTACAGTTGATACTGGAAGATGACTTCTCTCATGTCTTCTTTTCCCCTCCAGTTACAGAAATTGACTTGTCCACCTTTTCAAACCGATTCAGCCACCACCAGCTCCTCTACAAATGCCATGCCTGCGATATCTACTCTACCCAGTGAACGACTTTTGCTACAAGCTCCTACGACCCTTCCGATCACTGTTTTCACTGCTTTCGTTACCAGTAGGATGTTCTCTGTTGCAGGAACAACTACACAAAATAATCCCACTTCAAGACTAACCACTCATGAGACCCATTACATACTGGAGAAATATGACCCTTGCCTCTCTGACCATATTAGTAGCATTCACATAAGAACAAAAGACCACACTGCCCTGGTGGTTACTTGGTCTTTCTCTGGAGATCATGACCAGTTTGAAGTGCGCTACAAGTCTTCTGTGGATCAGCACATACTGCGAGTGATTGGACGTTTAACTGAGATTGAACTCCACCATCTGCAACCAGGGACCGATTACAGGGTTTGCGTTATTCCCCAGAACGAGAACCTCCTGGAGTGTGTGGCTCCTCCAGCCCAGCAATGTGCTACAGGGCGCACTGAAGCCCAAGTTCCAGCTCAGCACAACTTAGCCCTGGGAATTGGCATCACCATCGCACTTTTAGCACTGATGGCCCTGGCTCTCTTTGCCTTCTACAAGTGGCGGACCCGACCCTTCCAGTTCCAGCGCTACTATGATGAAGATGGGCTGCTTTCCCGACGCCAAGGCACTGCCCAGTCCAAGCTGACCACAGAGCCAGTCTATGAGAACTTAGAAGAGGACAACCAGCATGTTTATATGACAGCTGCCAGCCAATGGCCTCAAGAGAAGATAGACTGCACTCCTGTTGTCCCATCCAGATTTTCATCCACACCAGCCTATGCAAGCCTCTGATAGTTACAGAATATTAGTTATTTGTTAAAATGACCAGGTGTCGTGAATGGCATCCAAACCTTCGCAGCTGTGGATGAGAACGTTTCTTACATGACCACAAAGAAATGCTGAATCTGATGGAAGAAATCTTTTCTAACCTGTCTCCTCCTTTGTGAAGATTTTTTCAAAGAAATGAAGTCAGCTGTTATTAACTTTTACAACAATATCAGGAAAAAATATTATTTGGGTATTCATGTTAGCGTAAACTAGTGGCTTTGTTGGCTGAACCTGAAAGGGGATCCATCTATATCACTTATTATGCAAGAGATTCCTATTTTTCTGAAGACCAGAAGGGGGAAAGCACACAATGATGCCATCATAGCTGCTGCCTGACTATCTGGGATATGCTCCACACAACTGCAATCTTTAGAATTTTTTCATATATATTAATGAAATAGTATTTGTGAAGAAACCCCTGCCTATAGTTCATGACACAATTGCTCTTTTGATAATCAACAGTGCATGGATAGATGTTATTCGCTTTATTTTTTAATGATTCAAGCTTGGCTTCAAGGTAATGTGTTTTAAAATAAATAACCTGGACAACAAAATTCAAATTAAAAAGTAATTAAAAATGGCGGCATTGTTGAATTATATGAAGGGTTGCTTATTTCCATTTCTGCACTGTCCAATGAGTCGAATTTCTGCTTCTAACAATCCAAACACAATCACTTTCTTTACTCAAGGTATAAGACGAAATATGAACAGAATGATTCCAAGGAGAGTCAATATTCATTTTTCTTATACTGAACCAAACCTATTTTAATTGAGAGCGTTTATGCTTAGAAATATTACTAGCAGTTTTCTTGCAGGCCACCAGAATCAGTCATTTCAATGAGAAACATCAGTGACTAATGGGGAAGGATCACTCATGATGATCCAACAACCAATGAAATATCCCCAATTAGGAATATATGTCACAGTCCACACAATACAATAACCTAAATTTCTGAGAAACAGCAAAAATAGTGACATTGCTTTATACCTGGTGCTGGCCTAGAGCTGGAAGAATTGCTCCCCCAAAGCTCATAGGACAGTGCAGTAAAAAAGTTAGCGTCAAGATTTCCTGTTACCCCATGAGAGGTGGTCCTCTGACAAACAGTTCAATTTAAGCCATTTAGTGAGTCCAAAGCCCTGAATTTGGAAACAGAAGTTTCAGCTAAACAAAATGCAGAAAAGCCGAGGGAAGACTAACCTCAGAGAAAGGGGGATGGGGGGAAACAACAAAGTATTTACACTGGGAAAGGCAGAGTTCACTTTGGAAAAAAGAGAGCTTAAAAACACACAGCCCCCTCAAAAAAACCACGAACACGTTTTTTTTAAAAAAGCACATGGCAGACTTCCTCAAAGCTTTAGGTAGCAGTAGGTGGCCAGACATCCTGGTGTCAAAAGAGGCAGAATGTTTTATCCATAAGTTCCGTTGTCTTTATCTGCTCTCCATCTCAAGCACTCTGATGGCAGTCCTATAATGTGAGGGAAACAGCTTCCTGTGTATTACAGCTGGTGGAGGGTTTGTAAGAGCAAGTGGCGGGCAAAGGAACAGGAATCCAAAGCACGATTGGGTCTGAAAAGATAAAATGGAAATAGAAGAAGGGATCAATATTAATGAACTTGTGCTCGGATCAACAGATATTCTCAAAGGTGACAAAGAGTTCAGTTACGTAGCCCTGGAATCTGCCATAGGCAGTGGCAATCGCTAGGTGCTTTAAAAAAATACTCAGGATTTCCCACAATGCAACAGTCAGATACACTTGTATGTGTCCCATGTACATGTAGGCCCCATGGTCTAAAACGGGAGGTGGGGGCTAACTGGCTGCCCAGATGTTGTTGGACTCCCAGCATCCTAGCTATGGTCCATGCAGGAGGATGGGAGATGCAGCCCAACAACATCTGGAAGGTCACCCCTGGCCTATCAGGATTATTCTGGTGTAACTATGGAGTACAGAGCAAAGTGTACCGCAGGAAAATGGGGTTGTGGGGCAGAAACAGGATTCAATCTGTAGCAACAGTGAGGCGTGAAACAAAGAAGTTCTGCACTGACAGAAGTCTATCCAGGACAATATTCTCTCCCTCCCTCTCTCTCTCTCTCTCTCTCTCTCTCTCTCTCTCTCTCTCTCTCTCACACACACACACTATCTATCTATCTATCTATCTATCTATCTATCTATCTATCTATCTATCTATCTTCATTTCCCATTGTTTAATATGACTTCAATTCTGCCACAATGTGGTCGACCACTAGGTGGTGCTGCCACCACAGCATGGGGGTAATTGCCAAGAAAAGGACAGTGCAACTTTATTGAATATTTGTATTACTGCTCACACTGGGGCATGGTCTGAGACCGTCTGACTGCCAATACCCGCTTGCATAATCTTATGAGGTTCAATGGAAGACAAAAGAGCAACATGGATACAACTGTACTGCTCATATGGATGAGAACAGAAACTAAAGTCTCTTGGGGTCAGATGAAGCGAACACCAAGCATCAATGAAATTAAAGCCTTGTAGCACTTTGGCAAAATGCCTTGGCTTGGATTTTCATTTTAGAAGGTGTGGAACCCCTTCTATCCATGTGAACATCACAAATCCTATTTAAATCACCATCTAACATTATTGCACCTTCTTGAAAAGACATCCGTTTAGAAACAGAATTGTAGAGTTGAAAGGGACCCTGAGGATCATCTAATCCAACCCCTCACAATGCAGGAATATGCAGCTGTCCCATATGGGAATGAACCTGCAACCTTGGCATTATCAACACCACATTCTAACCAACTGAGCTATCCAGGCTGAGTAAAAGGGTATTTTTGAAAGGGTATTTTTAGGAAGGGATGGTAAACAGAAGCTATAGTTAAGGTAGTAGAATTAAGTTCCCCTTTGGCAAAAACAAATCTGCCAGCATCGTCCATGCCATTTACAGTGGTGCCCCGCAAGACGAATGCCTCGCAAGACGGAAAACTCGCTAGACGAAAGGGTTTTCCGTTTTTGAGCTGCTTCGCAAGACGAATTTCCCTATGGGCTTGCTTCGCAAGACGAAAACGTCTTGCAAGTTTGTTTCCTTTTTCTTAACACCGTTAATACAGTTGCAACTTGACTTCGAGGAGCAACTCATAGAACGCAGTGTACATAGTAGCCTTTTTTGAGGTTTTTAAAGACTTTGGTGATTTTTGAAGCTTTTCCAAAACTTCTTTTGCAGCCATTTGGTAAGTTAAGCTTTTAAAACTTTTTGGGGGGGTTTTGGATTTTGGGTTGGGGTGTTTGGAATTCAAGGACTTGGTGTTGGGGAGGGGTTTGCAAGAATCTGGAAGCTTGTGTTTTTTTCTGCAATTTTATGAGTTTCTGTGCCCCTTGTGCCACTCTGCTGTTTTTTAAAAAAAATTCTGGATTTGAATTTCTGTGTGCTGGGTGGCTGGGGGAACAGTTGGAGAGGGGTTTGCAAGAATCTGGAAGCTTGTGGTTTTTTTTCTGCATTTTTATGATTTTCTGTGACCATTGGGCAACTCTGCTGTTTTTTTAAAAAAATTCTGGGTTTGAATTTTGAAATGCTCTTTACAGTATATGTGACTTTAAAGAGCACTTAATAAACTCTTGTTGTACCAAATTTGGCTTTGTTTGGACTTTTTTTGACCATAGGAACGCATTAATTGATTTTCAATGCATTCCTATGGGAAACCGTGCTTCGCAAGACGAAAAATTCGCTAGACGAAAAAATTCGCGGAATGAATTAATTTCGTCTTGCGAGGCACCACTGTACAGTAAAGGAGTAAAATTTGAGCCCTTCAGAACTCCCCGTGGGAGGGTTTGTTAATGAAAAGTTCTCATGTCATTCTGCTCTTTGAAAGGCAGACCTCAAGGGGATTATTGAGACCTTATGATAAAATATGTGTTTTGATTAACCACACTATTATAACAATTGTGAGAACACTTAACATTAAAACATCAGAACAAGGTTGTACTGTGAATGGCTCTGGAAAAGAGATCCTCTCTCTCAGGTCCCTCAGGCCATTCACATAGGCAACAAATGGAGGGGCATTAATAAATCAACCATAATGAATGAATAACCCCTCTCCAGATGAGGGTGTGATTCCAAGGCTGGATATCTATCACCCTTAAAAAAACCAGCCAACCAACCAAAAAAGGCTTTTCAGCAAAAGTCATTACAGTTTATGGCTGACGTTTAAGCCCTTTGTAATATCATGTCTTGTGCTGAGAGGTTTCTTCTGGATCCAGCAATATGATGTGTCTCTGTTCTCTGGGAGCAGCAGGTGTTGCTAATTTTTCTTATGGAGAAAGGCGCAATACTCACTTTGTAACAAAGGCCAAAAGAACTGGCACAAGAGACTTAGGGAAATAATCCTGCTGGACCATGTGGTTCAGAGTCATCAAAGGGCCATAAAGGCTTGGTACAGCCTTGATCTTCTCTTCGCTCTGGAAGGTACAAGCAGACATGCATGAGATACAAATGAGCATCTGAGATCGTTCAGAGACCACTGATTTTTACACTCAAGGAGTATATTTAAATTGTGTTGAATATATAAATTTGCTGAGATGGTGCAGTTCAAGATACCAGTGTCCCCTGTTTCTCTTCCATCCCTTCGTGGCTGCCTACCCTAGCGCCTTTCAAAGCCCAGACAATTTCTTTTTGGCCTGAGAAATGAAAGCATGTGCCCAGTGTCCCTTCTGGCCTTACAGGACATCCAGCTGCCATATCATTTATACCCTTTTTAAAGGGCAGAAAAAGCCCTCAAGTGGATGCATTTGGGACAGATGGGTGAGAAGGTAAAATTTCACACTTAGCTGTTGCTTGAGCACAATAGGCACTTGATCAAGGCCCTGTCTATGCAAGTGTATTATTTGCTTTCCATTCCTACCACATGCCTTCCATTTGCCAAGAGCAAATGCGTACTTCCATTTTAGAACACCTGGTATCGAGAACAGGTTTCTGTTATCGCTTATCACCAGATATGCATAGAAGCCTTATATAGTCACAGAGAAAGAACATCTTCCACAAGCAGCTATCTTGGTCTTCTAAATCTCTCTGATTTTTGGAGCAAGGGTGCGGTTTGCTTATACAGAGCACACCTCACAGTTGCCACAACTCATTTGCTTCTCCTCTCACCTTGAGCAAACCCATGTGAATCAGGAGGCTGGTAATGAAAGCATCAGAATTGAAGGTAGCTGATGAAAAAGCTTCTCTCATCATGGCATCTGAAAAAAGAGAATGGCAGGGTTCAATTTTTCAGGGAAAGAGGCTCTCAAGCTTTACAGTCCTGAAGGCAGGTGGCCAAAAGAAAGACACTAAGAACCTGGTGGGTCACAGAACTTAGCTGGTATCTTCATATGGTGGCTAATCTGCAGCATATAGCTCTTCCTATAGCATTTTTGTGTCCCCACAATATCCCTCACCAAAAAATTGGTTATTATAAAAAAATACTTAATTTTTACTGACTGCTCCCAGAGGCTCTCTGCTGTGATACCAAAAAGGTTTTTATGACCATCTCAAGACCCCCAAAATGTGTCTTTTCTTACCAAAACTAATAATTAAAAATTGGTCATGCCCTCTTGAACCCTGCAGTCAATGCAGTTGACCATTGGCCAATGCAGCCCTTCAGCTAAAAAAAGGTTAGCCACCCCGGCCATAGCGACTGAGCCTGATAGCCTGCTCTTTGCCATCATTCTATTGGCCAAAGTTCCCAGGCTCACCTGTTGTTTCATTCACTGCTGATTTTACTGTTGGCTCATCTTTGAACACAGAAGATATCTTCAGAAAAACCGCAACAACTTTCTCTGTGTCAGATGTGTCTGTCTAGAAGAAACGTCATTCCAGAATCAAAAAATGCAGAATCAACCGCAAGGTATTTTTGCTGCTTGAAAGAACAACTAGTCCAGGGCCATTACGCCTGGAATTGCAGTCCATGCATGACACCTGCACCCCCAGCTATTTCAACAAGTAGCAAGCATGGGAAACCCAGCCAGATGGGTGGGGTATAAATATTATTATTATTATGATTTTCAGGGGGAAGAATACAGATAAGTCTAATTATACTCGAGCATATTTTGTAGCCTTCCTGAAGTTATGTAAGTATTTGTACGCTGAATCTTCTGAAACACCTAATAAAGACCAATCTCAAACTGAAGCTTTGCAAAAACAACAACAACCCCCCACGACTCATGAAAAACAGCTGTGACTTACCTGCTGCGCTATTAAGGTGGAGCATTTAGGGCCTAGTCGCAACAGTTTCTCCGGAGATGGAAAAGCAAGAAAAGTGCCAACATCCACAGGAGGGAGAGAAGGAGAAACCACTGGAGTAGAATCCTGGAAGAGACGGCCATGAAAATTAGTGTGCCCCAGTAATGCCCCAGAAAATTCACAAGTGCCAGAACTCTAGTGCTGTAGATGAGAAGTGGAGGGAAAGGAAGGTCCCAAAAGAGAGTTGCAGCAACAGGGAAGGTTGTCATAAATAAATTAGTGGAGAAGAGCCTAATGCTATATTACAGCACCATGCTGAGCCTTTCCATTGAACATACTAAGGCCACAGCAAAAATATCTTCCTATCACTGAAGTCTTGTGCCTCAGGAAAAATGAGGGTCAAAGAAGCCTTTCTCTGTTACAAGCCACTGCCTCAAGGCAACTGGAACGCCTTGACTCAGTAAAACCTACAAGGGCAGCTCCCTCTTTACCACTGCTCAGTTGTGGGGGAGAATTGTGGGAAACCAAGGAAAAACTATGGGGTTTCCCCCACAAATCGCTCTGTTGTTTGGGATGAAGAGGGAGCTGCTTCCGTTGTTCCTGAATTATCCCTTCCAATGGACAAAAAAGGGATGGCGCACAGGGAAGAAACAAAGCGAAAGAAAAAGAAAAAGAGAAAGGGGTAGAGAGCTCTCTCTCTCTCTCTCTGTGTGTGTGTGTGTGTGTACTGTTTGTGCATCTGTCCAAGAGTGTGGGATGGTGCCACTCATTGACAGTCCTAGCCCTCTGAAGGCATGTGGTCCTTGGAGAGTTAGTCCTCAGACTAGAGTCTGATTTAGCATTTCTGCTTTAAATTTAGTAGGCTAACTTTTGTTAGCCCCGTTCACATTAAACCACAATTTAACACTATAGTTTAATGTGAACAAGCAGAATACTGATGCATACTGCTCAAATGTTCCTGCGGTGCTCGTCTCCTGCCATGGCTGAAACAAGCCAGAGTCTGGCTTGATTTATCATCTGAACCTGGGGCTTCTGATTAGGCTGGAAGACAGTGATACAGAAGCAACTTTAGAGCAGTCCATTTCAGCATGCTACTTGCTCACATTAAACCTGTAGTTTAATGTGACCTGTGAATCAGGGCTGTAGTGCTTAAAGTTTGTAAAAACAACTCGAAAGTTTTTCCAGTAGCTAAAAATATTTGAATTGAAATTCTTGCTTAGCAGCCCAATCTTACTTGTATTCACTCAATACATTTTAATTAATTTTATGCAATGCTGCATTGTTGGAAATGGAAAAATTACAATGAAAAATATGGCAGGAGAAATCTTACAGAACACTTTCCCACCCCATATCACTTCATCCACAGCTGTTTTCCCTCTATGTGAAAGTAATGGGATCTGTTCATACTTACATGTGCCTCCAATATTTTTTTAGGCGTCAGTGATTCTTGCTCTCCCTGGCCTCTCTCCTGCAACTGAGTTGGCTCTTCTTCTTCCTCCTCTTCCTCTTCCTCCTCCTCCTCCTCTTCATCGTCGTCATCTTCATCATCGTCGTCATCTTCTCCATCATCATCACTAGGTGGACAAGCGTGAGATAGAATGTTATGAATATAGCTCCTTCATGGCGTATGCAAGCATTTTATTGCCAGCCAGTTTGTAACAGTCAACACTAAATAATCCTAAACGCAAATAAAGAGGAAGATCTAGTGGCAAAGATGGAAGGAAGCACACTTGTAGGGGTGGCTATTCTCCCTAGCGGTCCTTTCAAGGAGCAGCAGTTGGACCTCAGGAGTGGATATCATCCATCACTGTATTGTTCTTAATGCTATTTTATGTTCTATTCTATTTTTACACATTTCTGTACACCACCTTGATATATTATATGAGTGGGTGGGTTATAAATATTTGTATAAATAATAAATTGTTTCCCCAGAGCCTTCATCAGTGACTGAATTTGACTGTTTTCCAGTTCCTATCCCATCCCCTTTTTCTTTTGTTTTGGGAATGTTAGACTGTTACCCCGTGGACAGAGATGCATTTGATATTTAATCTTTGTACAGCTCCTAGAAAACTGGTGGTATACGACCCAATCATACTCAGAGTGGACTCACAGAGATCAATGGATTTGAGTTAGTTATGTCAATTGATTTCATTGGTCTACTCTGACTTAGTGGAATACAACCTAAACTTATCATCATCATCATATTTTTCTTGCCTCATTTAGAAAACTGTAGTCACAAACCAAGTTTTGTATCTTTACACAAGCAAAGACCAAGTAAAACAGCTTATAAAATCTTTTTCTGAAAGGAGCTCAGAAAGGCAGAGCACAAACCCCTAAGCCACCAAAAAGAGCAGCAACAAGTGTTAACCCGAAAAATATTTTCACACTCGGGAATAGAAGCTATGCATCCTGGCAATGGTTAACTAGCCAATCATGAATAACTAACATAAGGAATGAGCCATTTCCAAAGAGGGTCCATACAATTTAAGTTTTAAGGAACAAAAAACTCAGGCCAACCGATCAAGAGATGGGCATGTCAAGGGCCCCCAAGTCAGACTTATCCCACTGTAACACTCCTAGAATGGTTGTTATAAAAACAGCAAAACCAATTAGGAGCCCGAGCTTCACTACTGTTGGAGAAATGGCCATTTCACAAGCAGCACTGCTTGCATGCAGCTTCACTAGAGAATCAAGGAACTCTAGCAGCAGATTACCATAGCTTCTTCATATATCTTACCTCAGAGATCCAAGCACTTCTGCCATGTTGAAGCCTTCAAGGATCTCTTGGAGCTGCTCACAGCCCTCCTCTCCAAAACAATTCCCTGTGGCAAGGACAGAAGGACAGACATCAGCAAAGACTGTAATCCCCACAATGCACCTGCAGCCATCCTGTGACTCTCTCATATGTGTTACTGGGCAGATTTGGCAAGTAATTTTGCGTAGAAAAGGGCAAAACTCTGTGGGTCGTGGGAGGAGATTTCAGGAACTGCTGAAGGCTATCTGTTGGGACTACGGATTTAAGGGACGACTTTGAAGGTGTCTGAGGAAGAAGCTGGGAAATTGCCAGACTTCAGAACTCAGAGAACCCTATCAGTTGCAGGACTTTGCAGCAACCAAGCTTAGGACTTGGCTGTGGACTTTGACACAGCAATGACTTTGAAACAAAGAATCCTCTCTGGGTTGAGAGGGAGAAAGCTACTTGTACCATCTCTGTGTGTATGTTGGTGTTGGCCCCATAAAGACCACTCTGCTAAACAGCTGTTTTCTGTTGTGAGCTTAACTACTTGACTGAGCTTCTTGTGCCACATGCACCCAACAAAAACTCTACAGCTGCCATAAAGGCATTTGTTTAGCAATACAAACTGTTGGGAATGAAACAGTTATTGCTTCAGTATTATCTTTATATGAACAACTTTAATATTTAAATGCCCAATCATGGGACGTGCTCTGAAGGAAATGCCACTTCAGTTGGGTTTGCTGGGTCTATGTGGAAGAGTGTTTAAAAAGCAAGTATATTGTACTTTGGTAGTGAAGTCTCTGACACAAAATGGCTAAATTGTAGTGGTGATATAGAATATTCATGAACGTTATATATGTTAGGATTCTTGCTCTGTGTTTGCAGTCATGGGATTGTTGTCTATCACATGATGGTGTATGTTTTCATTCCACAATGTGGGAATTGACGGAGAAAGGAAGTTTTGTGTTACTGCGTTCCGTGATGTGGGAATATTGTCCTTTGTTCTCTCTCTTTGCTGTCTGGTGAGAAAGAGGAAGGAGCTAAGTCAGAATGCTCTGAGTGTATTATATGTAAATAAAGTAGATTAGCCAAAATGCTGTGCTACTGAGTTCTGTTACGTAAACTGCTAACACTCTGCAATATCCTAAAGCATGCTAATGCCTTTTGGTACCAGTCGCTGTGATGTTCAGGCTGGAGAAAGCTTTCGAAGCTCCCGAATGACCGACCAGGAGGCAGAGAACATGCCAGTCAGGCATGTGACTCTGCCAGGGTCCTACAAGCGAGTAGGACGATCCTAACAATATATGCTCAGAGAGCAATATGTCAGAATGTTTCCTATCCATCTTCTGGGAGAGAAAATCACTTTGGCTAGGACTAAGACCCTGCACAGGCTCTAGGAACTACAGTAGCATTGCACGGCCAAGTGATATGAGATTCAATTAGTTAGGGAAGCTAAAGGACGGGAATCCCAGAGACAGGATTGGAGAAACAAGTGTGTGGGGTGGGCAATGGACCAAGAACCTATGGGAAGGTTGGGTTAAACAGAAGGTTGGGGAAGAGAGGGAACTGTGGCATACAGTATTCACATGCCGACCTGAATGAACCAGGCAATTATCCAGCTACAGATTTCTAGTAAAACATTTTTGACACTGACATCATAAGCCTCATACCATTGAGATCCAGCTTCTGTAGCTCCGACTTGTCCTCAGTAGCCTCAGCAATAATTAGAGCAGCGTCTCGCTTGATTTCACAGAAAGACAAGTTGAGTTCCTAAACAGACAGAAGCTATGGTTTTAGAGGAATATTTTTTAAAAATAGACATATATTTTGCATGTTCAAGCCAGGTATGTCTACAATTCACATTACAAAGTACCAAATCAGGAATCCAAAAAAAGCTTCATTAAAAAGGTTGAGGTTGAGGTGATGAGGTTAGGGGAGAAATGACTGAATTATGAATAACCTTGTTTAAGAGATGGCAAATAGTGCTTGGTTTCCTTTTTAAGAATCACAGAAATAAATCCTAGATGAAGGTTTATGTTGACTCTTTGTAGTATTAGATTCAGTACACTACCTCTAAGCCAAATTTCATATTAAATGGATGGAAGACACTTACATTTCTCTCAAACAGAATAAATGTCATTCTTCCATCACGCCAAGTGGCTTGTAATATATTCATGCTTAGTGGCTATGTTTTGGCATCAATTCATAATGGTGCCTTTAGCTTTAAGATGGATCTCAGCCATAGGCACGAAAATGAGTAGTCATGTATTTTGTCAATCCCTATTTCAGGGTTTTTTGAATTAAATGGTATGGGGAGATGGACCAAAAAAAAAGAAAGAAAAAAAAGGGAAAAAAAAGGATTTCCTATTTGAAATCTCAATCACTCAGATTTCTCCCAAGCAGCTTAACAAAATACAGTATCCTGAAAGATTTAAGTTGTAGCCAATACCTTTAATTTATGGAGTCCTTCATTAACAGCTTCAGCAATGGCAACAGCACCCTTGGAACGTACTAGGCAGTCACCAAAGTTGATCACTTCCACTTGTCTGAGTTTCTTGAGGGTCTGAATGGAATAGAGAACATTATTCCACTCACTATTCTATTTGACCATGCAAGACCACACAAGACCAACTTAATCCTAAGGAAAGTGTTTCCCCCCACACACACTTTCTCAGGATTTCCTGGCCCAAGTCACTGTTAGAATCAAGAGGGATTAATTTTAAGTGAAAGGAGCTCACCTCAGCCATAGCCACAGCTCCCTTCTCTGTAAAAGTGTTATCGTTCAGGTTGATCACCCTCAGCAAGGGATTGACAGCAAAAGCCTCAGCTAAGGCTGTAATTCCTGGATGGTTGATTCCATTTTGTGGCATGTGAACTTCTTCCAGAGTCCCAATAGCCTGAAGGGGCAAAAACAGAATGTAAAGCAAATAAAGTTCATGTCATTCTAGGAGAGTGGTGTTCTCAGATCCTTTTCTCTCCATCTTCCACAATTGTTTTGGGGTATTCTGTCTGAACCCTTTGTATACTATTTAGCAATCAAAAATGATTGGCTAATTTGAATAACGAAAAGCCTAAGCACATTCCTGATTCCAGAATGTTGAAACCCAGAACAACTTTCCTTTCTTGTCCCATTGCTTACTCATCCTGCTTGATTTACTTTTTAAAATATTAGTTTTTGTCTCTCTTTCTAATTTAGTTCAACACCTCCTCTTGCTCTTTCTCTTCAGCGTGAAATCATCTCTCTTTCCTCCACACTTCTTCTCCCAACCACTTTTACTCTGCATGTGGCAAGTTTATGGTGCTGGCATTAGTCCAACAAAAATTCTGCAGCACAGCCAGAATGCAGGGTGGGTGAGTAAGAAGAATTGAGGCCCACCTAAAAGTGGAATGCAGTCCACTAGTAGTCCCTGGCCCACCAACTGAGAAATACTGCAGGTGAGTTGCTGTTGCTTACCAGGAGGGAGGGCCAATGGAGCAGGGAGGTCAATGTGGTGCAAAAGCACCAGCAGGAACCCTAGATTGGCTCTGCCAGTGTGTTTGCTCCGCATCAACCTCCTTTCCAGTCTGCCCCTCCTGATAAGCAAGAGCACCCATTTCCTGGCAAGCTAGCACAGTGGTGCCACTCTACCTGGCAAGCCGCTTCTTGCAGCAGTATCAACAGAGGTGACTTAGGCTGCCTCAAATGGCCTTTTCTGATGCTGCAACGAACTTGACCACTACTAATACCATTCAATGCAGGAGATAGTAGCATTGTAGCAAAATGAATTCATTTTTTTAAAGGGCACCACAACACACTTTGGAGGAAGAATATGCATGTTCATTAACACCAATGGCTAAGAGCATCCCTTCCCATGCAACAAATGTCAGGGCAAACTTCCTGTCTCAAAGTCCTGCTTTTTGTACTTACACTGAATGCCTCAGCAAGAGCAGTTGCACCATCATTTTCCAGGCGGTTCCTGCCAGCCACAAATACTTTCAGAGCCAAAGGCTTGCCTTGAACACTTGATTTCCTGTGACACTCTTTCAAAGCTGCAGCCAAGATCTAAAATAATAATACCAGACTGTTTATGCTACTATAATGTCATTTTGGCCTGAGGGATTCCATTCCTATAAGGCACACATTTAAGCTACCACTTCCTATACATACATGCATACATACGTACGTACATACATACATACATACATACATAATGCAGGCACTCTGCAGGAAATATTACACACCACTGAAGGCTATTCCCAGCAATAATATCATGAGGGGAATGTAGATTAGTAAGATGACTCTGTTGTGTGTCCTCAACTCAGATTTCCATGTGTGTGAGATAAGGACACAGGTCCCCAAATTAGGGTCTTGGCTCTCCCATCCCTCTCAAAAAAAAACCCCCTTCTATGGCAGGCAGAGGAACGCTTTAGATATTTTTAAAAATATCCGTCAAACATTAGACTTTTTTTTACTAGAAAAAGAGAAGCCTGCCCACCCTGTTCAGCTTGTAGAGATTTTAATGCAGACAACAATCTGAAGCAATAAAAAACTTGTTGGCAAACAGAAGCCCTTCTGGAACCGGTTCTACTCAAGAGCTCTAAATCAAAGTTTCTGAATAGTCAACACTTGTCAGAAATAGGGTTTGAAGACAGTGTCAATCAACTGACAGGAAGTGACTTCACACAACCCCATTGGGATCTTCCCTTTGCAGTTCAAGTTCTACGTTAAGGGGGAAAAAGTGACATCATGGTGACATCACATGATGGATAGGCAGGAAGCCCCAATAGTGGGGGTTCCAGGTTTCACCCTGCTGTGAAGACTGGATTCCCCACCCAGGAAATGCCCTTACCTTGCCACCACCAATGCCCATGCCACAATTGTTTAGCTTGAGCTCCTGCAGGGTGAAACAGGCAGGGCTTTTCAGAAGTGCCTCAAACCCACGCACTCCATCTGGTCCAAAGGCATTGTCACTCAGATCCAGCTCTGTAAGCTGGCAGCCAGCAGAAACAATGGCCTCTCCAAGTGCGATCTGAAAGATGAACAAAAGGTAAATTTGACACAATGCCCCCGTCTACTACAGAGGACAGAGATCTGCTCTGCAGCCATTTCTTGCCGTCTCTTTTCACCCATCACCCGCTAGCAGCCTTGAGAGGCTCCTTCTCGTTCATAAAATGGAGAAGTTGCAGGTAGGGAGGCAGCTGTCCTATGTGCCATGCCTGTGCAAAGGAGGGGCAACACAAGTAGCTGGGATGAGCAAGTCACACCCATCTACCTGGATGCTGTGTTTCTGTTTCCTCCTGGCCTTTTCTCCAGCAACAGATATGTTGTGACACTGAGCAAAGAGGACTGAGGAAACAGCCACTGATGACACTCTGCCCTCCTTATAATGCCCTAATGTTTTATTAAACTGTTACTATTATAATACAGATTCCATCATTGCTCAATTTCTGCCCAACAGAGATCTCTCTTGGCAATTAATCTACGACAACCAATTTCAAAGCTTAAAATTACAACTCTTCTTAACCTTCCATTTGGTCATTCATTAATCACATCCCTGTCTCTATCTGAAGCAGAGGTGAGGAACCTAAGACCCTCAAAATTCTCCTCAGGCCACACTCCTGACTGGCTCTGCTTTGCAGCCCAAGTGGTTTTGCCTGGAATGAGTGTGTCCTTGAACTCTGACAGTGCCTCTTGGTTGCATGGATAGAGGATAGCAAGGTGTGCACGACTGTGTGCAGAAACTAGCCTACTGTACAAAGGTAATTTTTAACTTTAATGCCCCACCCACTTTTGCCTCTGCCTCTACCTACCACTGGCATGTGGCCCTCGGAAAGTTACCCAGAAAGGGTAATAAAGCTTGGGCTGAAAAAGCTTCCCCACCTTTGCCATAAAGTCCCTGTAACAGAAACAGTATATTGCTCCCACTGTTGATCAACAAGCTCAGAAAGCCATTCCTACACTTTAGCCTCAGAAAAATATCATGATAAGAAATAATGAAAATGGCATTTAGTAATATTAGCGACCTAGTCTTACACTTACCAGAGCAGGGGGAATTTCAGATCGTAGTCTCCCGGTGAACATATCACTCCAATGACATCTCTAAAATAAGACACATATATATATATATATCATATACATGCTTAAAAATAAAAGTACATTGTAATCTACCATGATTAGTCAAAGTATTTGTACTCACTTACTTGGCGTGCATAATGGAGAGCTACACAGGCTTTATATCAAATGTTTTGATCAAGAGTAGCTTTTTATAATAACAGGTTTTTGACAGCACATAGCAATAATACATACAGATTAGAAATTTGGTAAACTAATCCTTATTGTTGGTTTTAATTATTCATTAAATGTTTAAAACATTTGTCTTCAACTTTTTTTTACTGGTAGTTTCATTGCTTTATTCCTCTGGGAAACTGCTTTGAGGGTTGTTGTTGCTTGCAATCAAGTGGTATATAAATTTTGTGAAATAAATAAAATTACCATGCTCCAAAGGAGGCATGCAGAGTGGCAATTTGCTAAAATATCCAGTATAATCTTGCACACCAATTTAAAATCTTACCACATACACAAGCTTAGTAACTACAGCCGAAGCACTGCTACTTCAGAGTTCACAAGGAAGGCAAGAAGCAATGTTTTTTTTTAAAAAAATAGGGCCTATCTATGCAATCACCACCCCACCCAAAAAATAGTCAGACGGTTGTTTTGTAGTCAGAGGGTTGAGGGCAGGAGAGAGAATGGCTGAAGAATTCATAACTGCTACTGTAAGACCTAGCATATTTCATTTTGTTCTCTGCAAAAATAGTAAACTTTGCTTGAACAATGGTTTCAACCAGTATTTGCTCCACCAATTCAAACTTTTCCTTAAATCAAGAGCGGGGAGCCTGGGTCCCTCCAAATCATGGCAGAATACAGCTCCCAGCATCCCTGAGCGCTGGCCAGGCTGGCTGGGGATGATAGGAGTTGGGAGTCCAACATCTGGAGACCCACAGGTTCACTTACCAACAGAGTCAATCACAGGAAGCACAGTGGTGAATGCCACTTATAATTCTAAATTGCTAAGACAGTTTTGATTTTTTCCCTTATGTTTGTGAATGTCACAGATCTCCCTGGGCCTGTTTTATCTGCTAGTCAAGCAGACAATGAATGCAAGTTGCAAGATAATGGGTTTTCCACTGTCCATCATCCACTGAAATGCTCACCTTGAGCTGAGATTTCTTCTCCAGAGCCTTGGCAATGACCTTTGCTGCCTCCACCCCCACAGTGTTGCCTTCGAGGCGTAGTGCTTCCAGGCCATCGAACTCCTCAATCTCTTTAATCACCTCTTCGGCTGCACAGAATAAGCAGGATATTACTTGCTCTCAAAACTGAGATCTAACAGTGCTAACAGTACCAGTTGTGCATTTTTATTTCTTAAAAAAATACTTGGAGAAAGGGGTGTGTGTGCAGCCTAGGTATGTACTAAGGGCGGTTGGAGAATCTCTCCTGAAATCATTCTCCTTGTTTGGGTCTCTAGAGGAACCACCAGAAAGAATTTGCCTGTGAAGCACAGATACACATTCAACCTGCAATTCAGAATCTAAAATCAAGGAAGGATTGGGTTTCCTGCAAATCCGCCATTTTAGAAAGATTAAAGGGAGGGGGGACATATATTTGATCAGGCCAGACTTTTCCAGGATCTAATGCTGGGAAAACATTCAAAGCAGTGCTATTCCTCTTACCATCTTCTGCGGTATTGAGTTTCAGACTCTTGCCTTTGAAGCTCAGCTGCCCTCCGCCCACCTGAGTTTTAGCTAAGGACTCTGCCAGCTTAGAAATGTCTTCTGATGCCATTTTTTTGGATTGTGTCAACCTTTACTGATTACCAGTTGGGAAGGGTGCTGAAAAAGAGGAGAGAAAGCATATACCATCAATGGGGTAAAAGCATGCTGTTCAATTATATGAAGAATTTTTTGTTTGATAGATAACTGCTTTCAAGGCTTAACCCCTTAAGTGCTCATGGAGAAAATGAAACAGTCAAGGGAGGGGAGCAAAGGGTTAAACCATCACACAACCTCCTGCAAAACAGCTATTTCAGTAGACTAATAATCTTTGCCTACCTTATATTATATGCCACGAGAAAAGAGGTCAGAACAGGCTAACACTGGGGTGAAAACTGCCTGTGAGGATAGCAAACAGGCCCTGTCACATGCAAGCGAAAATAAAAGAACAATAATTTACCCAAGTCACCACATGCCAGTTCTAAGAGCTGCGGATTAGGAAACAGCTATTGAAAAGAGGCTACAAAGCATAGTTTGCTAGTGTGTACTGCCGTGCTTCTGCTAAGTTCCACATAAATAATGCAGTTTGGTTTAATATTTGGCATCAGCACATTTCAGGAAAGGATTATTTGCATGAGGCTGATGATAAACTGGGGCAAGCATGTCAAACTCAAATTAGTAGAAGGGCAATATTCATCACCTAGCAGAACCCAAATAGCTATATCCATAATTTTAAAAAGTCAGCTGCACACTGACTTACTTAAGGGCAATGGTTTCCTATCATCATTATTTGTCACATTTTTGCACTAAGGTGTCTCAAAGTGACTTACAACAATAAAAACAGTGTCTATGTAGAATGTGGCATGGGCAACGAAGGCTATATTGGAGACACACATCTCATAGTTCAGGACCATCAATGGTAAACACAGTTTACTGTAAGATACAAGCCCCTGCAAGTCAGCAAGAACCATGGAAGCTGGGCTCCCAGAATCAACATCCAACTGACACCATGTTACAATGTGTGCTACCTGGACTTTCATGTGGACCACCAGCATTCATGTATGTTCATATACACACTGCTGAGAGGTTTAGGATCTTTTGCTGGAGTTACGAGGTGCGCTTGTCATGGATGTGTGTTAACCCTTAGTCTTATGCCTACAAGAAGCTCTTACACAAAGAAATAAAGAAGCTTGGTTTATTATATAATGCAGGGGTGACAAACTATATAAAAATGCTGCTTTAGACGGCAAAGTTACAGTCTAAGCAGGTAGCAAATGACAATATGTATACACTTCGATGAAAGAGTAAGATTCCCCAACTATTCTAAAGGCCCACAGGAGCAAGGGCATGACAATTTTGCTATAAACCCACACTAGAAGGAGGGGGGAGAGAGGAAAGTATACATGCCCTTAAAGTGAAGCAGACGTGTGCAAAGTCCTAGGGATCGCTGGGTTAAGTGCTGTCCTGTTGGAGCTGTGAGAGCTAACTAACCTTTGCATCTAATGGTTTTTTAATACCCTTTTTGCCAAGGCATGCCAGTGGAGAAGGGAGGGGGTTGTGAAATGAGTGGTTTCTATAATTTCCATAGTTACTTCTGGAATTTCCTGCCTAGTTCTCATCTTTGGTCATCCTGTTCCTGTCTGTTGAACAAAAAGGTGAAAGATTTGTGACAGTGAGCAATTACCTGAACCTTTACATCACCTTATCATTGTGTAGATGGATCTCACTGAGGAGCTGAGTATCCTGTACCTGACAACTAAATTTGCCTGGGTTAATCCTTAAAATCAGGTGTGTGTGTGTTTGTGTGTGTGTGAACTCAGGATATTCCTGATTTCAGGGTGCTGGAGTAAGGCTTGTGTCAGGTTGCCATGGAGTTCATCATGGAGGGTCTCATTTCAATCTTATACTTAGTCCATGATCTACAGAGATAAACTATATCATAAACTCAGATTCACACACACTTCCTTCAAGTACTGTGAAACCCCCAATTACGTAATAAAATCACTTGTTGCTATGTTTCCTGGCAATTTGACCATGTTGGGTAATTTTAAAAGTCCACTTTATCATGTAGCAGGGAAGGAAGCTACCCTAAAATAATTTATTTTATATTAATTTCTAAGCACAGATGTAGAAATTGGCACCAAAGATGACATGGTCTGCAACAGTTAGAATTGTGCGAGCCACAAAACCAGAAAATGTGGAATGTGTGGTTTAGCGGTCCAAAGTAAGCAAAGCAAACCTATTACTTTTCTATATTAATATCACTTTTTTAGATAGGAAGGAATAGCCACTTGTTCCTTATCTCAACACCAAAACTCATGTCCACAGCACTGCATCTGTTTGCCACCTTCTAAAATGAAGATTACCTTCATGCTATTTTTAAACAAGAGGTGTCACATTTATCTACAGGCCTAATTATATCTCTTGGAATTAATATTTTGTTAACTACCTCTCCCCCCCCCCATTTCAATCCAAATTCTTATTTAAAATGTTGCTTGAGCATGATATTTCAATTTTAAATTGAGTCAGTATGCCACATAACACACTGAATGCCAATTGTTAAAAGACTGATCCAGCACACAAATCTTCCTGTATACTTAAATAATATACTAAGCATCTGTCATAATCAACATTGATTCCTAGGGAAGTCTCTCCATCTCCTTGATCATTTTGGTTGCCCTTTTCTGAGCCTTTTCCAAATCTACAATATCCTTTTTGAAGTGAGGCAACCAGAACTGTATACAGTATTCCAAATATGGTTACACCATAGGTTTGTATAATGGTGTTATGATATTGGCAGTTTTATTTTAATTCCCTTCCTAATTTTTCCTAACATTGAAATCACCTTTTTCATAGCCACTGCACACTGGGTTGACATTTTCATTGAGCTATCTACCGGTACTTTCACCCCAGGGCCTTTTTCTTGGTCCCTCAAGAGTTCCACAAGGCTTCATCTTATGATCCATGCTATTCAACTCTGACATAAACCTGTGGGAGAGAAGCTCTAGAGATCTGGAGTGTGGTGTTAGCACAACCACTTTGAGGTGGGCTTTTATATTTTCACAATCAAGTGATGTATAAATTTTATGAAATAAATAAAAATAAACAAACCAATAAGCATGGTAAGGACACCCAATTTTCTCTTTCCCATTTGATTCTAGAGAGGTCGCGAAAGGTCTTGAATCACTGCTTGAATTTAAGGAGCGACTGGATGTGGGCTAATAAATTCAGATTCAATTCAGATAAGACAGATGTGCTGTTGATCAGGAGACCCAATCCAGGGTTAGGTGTAAAGTCTGTTCTGGACAAGGTTCAACTCTTCATAAAGGAGCAGGTTCACAATTTGGGAGCCCTTCTGGATCCAACTTTGCTCTTGGAGATCCATTTAGTAGTAGTGGACAGGACTGCTTTGTGCTGCTTCAGCTTGATGCACTAGCTGTACTCTTACCAGGAGAAAACAGTTCTCCTCACTGTCATGCCTTTTTCACTTCTAGGCAAAGTTAACATACGGCACTTTATGTCGACCGTCTCTGAAAACTGTTTGAAAACTTCAACTGGTACAAAACGCTGCAGCTAGAGTTTTGGCCAGGGCCTATCTTCCACCTTGAAAAGGATATTGTAGGACTGGAAAATATTCTGTAATGGGCAACCAAATGGTCAATGGACTGCAGTAACTCCTCTCTGAGGAAAGAGGCTCTTTAGGCTCTTTAGTTTAGGAGGAGGAAAAGCTGAAAGGGGACATGATGGTATAGATCTGGGGGGGGGGGTCCTGTCTAAACCCTAGGAGTGAATAAATTGAATGAATTGAGGAAACTCCTGGGCTGGCTTATGCAAACCAGCCTGGCCAAGCTAGGGCAATTGGCAGGAGAACTCCTCCTCCCAGGTGTGAACAGAGACAGGGGTCTGATTTGAAGGGTTGTCAAGCTGATGGGGTGTGCTTCTGAGCAGAGGTTTCTGGGAGGAATGAGGAGGAAGAGCGGGGGGGAGATCCATCTTGGCCAGGGAGAGAAGAAAGGTTGCCTACAATGCCATTGGCCATGCTGTAAGACAGGCATCCCCCAACTCGTCCCTCCAGCTGGTTTGGGACTACATCTCCCATCATCCCTAGCTAACAGGACCAGTGGTCAGGGATGATGGGAATTGTAGTCCCAAGACAGCTGGATGGACGAGTTTGGGGATGCCTGCTGTAAGATCTGGACTCCCACCATGCAGTCCGAAGGTGCAAATAAACAATATTTTTTTTAAAGTCCAACAGTCTCTGCCGTGTCTTCTATTCTCCAAAGGGACAAAGACCCTGTGTGTGTCCCTGTAACCCCATGGGCTCTTGTCACCACTTGGCAGTGAGAGAGGCAGGCACTGGACTTTTGTAACAATATACTGGTATAAAATTACACACAGCATGGATTTATTTAGTGGATGGAGTCTGTTGTCCTTTTCTTTAGAACCTAGGATCATCCAAAGAAGCTGAATGATGGAAAATTCAGGACAGGCCAAAGGAAGTACTTCTTCAAACACGTCATAGCTAAACTATGGATTCACTATGTAGTGACTGATGCCAATTTGTTTGACTTTGAAAGGTATTACATAAATACATTGAAGATAAGGTTATCAGTGGCTACTTGTCACAATAGCAATATTCTATCTCCAGTACTGAAGAAAGTATGCTTGTGAATATGCTAGGGAAAAGGAATGGCAGTGTGTTGTTGTGCTTATGTCCTACCTATGGGCTTCTCATCACGGGTTTCCAGTTCAGTTCTGCACTATTTGAGACCATTATATTTAAAAAGATCACTCCCTCCCCCATCCACTTGGCTTCACATTTCACCACTATCAAAAGTGTAGTTGGGGTGGGGAGAAAGTTAGCTTTTTGGCAATGTCTCCATGACTATCAAGCTTTCTAACTCATTTTTTTCTTGTCATACTTTAACTTGATTTCCCCGTTAATGATACTGTATTGCTAGTTCTCTGTAGAAGACAAGACATTTTTTTTTTAAAAAAATACATAAAATGTATTTAATTTTCCACTCCTGTTTTGACTACTCCTGTAGTGACTATCAGTGCTGCTAAAGGCACATTATTATAATCTCTTCAGTTCCAAAACGCTTCAATATTATTATTGACTAGTGGTTTGTTACACAGGTCAAGAGACTGTCAACTTGTTTCCATTAGAATAATCACTTCCCAAACAAAGTTCCTATTTAAAACCTTTTGTTTTTCTCCCTTTATCACCCTACTCCTGAAGCAAAAGGAAAATGCGTGAAGCTGACGTATTTCCTCATGTTGCAAGCCTATTCAGTCATCGAGCATCGCTCAGCCAATCTAGACACACCGCTCGCCTTCATTGACTCAGTTCCGTCTGCTTCCTCGCTATTCTACGTAAGCAGCCTCCCATGCAGATGCTCACTTTAAAAAAGTAAGTGTAACTGAGAGAAGGTGAGCAAAGAGGTGACTCGAGTCCCTCGCTCCGTAATGCACGGGCTTCGCACAAACGCAACAGCACAACAAAATTACACAACAAGCTCACCCGAGTGGGCCCTAAAACTGCCAACGAGGGCGTGACGTCATACAGGGAAGGGACCGAGAGTTTTGGGCTGGTAAAAAAAGCACTCCTAGTGGGGAGGTTTGGATCCACGTCTCCGCCGGGCGAACCGAGCACGGTGTATGTCCCGTGGGAAGATACGGACACGTGTATCTTGAGGGGCAACGCGCAAGTGCCTCCTCCTTTCCCACCACGCGCCGCGCCTGGCATGGCCGGGGCGGAAAGCGGGGAGGCGGCGCTAACAAACCCACCCGGCGCCCTCTCACCGGCGAGCCTGCCTAATAAACCCAGCCCGTCAACTCCCGCCCCTCCTCGCGCGAGACCACCCGGCGGCCGCTTACCTGCGAAAGCGCCGGGTTCCAGCCTGTCACGTTGCAGACGCTACCGCAGCCCCAAGCCTACGAAGACGATGGCGTTATGGGAGGCGGAGGATTTGAAAGCCGGCAGTTTTGTTTCCTACCCTGTGATTCGCTCTTCGCCTTCCCGGTCTTCCGCGCCTGCGCAGGAGGGGGCTTTCACGGCCTGCCTCCCTCCTCCTCCTCCCCTTTGCCCCCTCCTTCCTCCTAAAGGCGCCCAGGCAATTGTTAGTGCGAGAGCCGAAACGGAGGGGAGAGGTCACAATTTCGCGTCGCACGACGCGACTCCCCCCCCCTTTGCCGCAAAGCATCCTGGGAGCTGTAGTTTTTTTACTAGAAGTGTCCTCGAGCTCCCCCTTTAAAAAACAAAACTTTGCGGTGGAGTGAAAGAGGCTGAGTTCCCTACTATTTTGTTGCTTGGAGCGGCGGGTCAGACGTGTGTAACGGGTTTGGATACGATTATATGGTTCTGTTTTGTTTTTAGTAGGACTGCTACCTATTTTCTTGAAGAATTTCTGTGCCTTTAAGAACTACCTTTAAGAAACTCTTTTATGAGAAAAAATTACAACGTTTGAAGTGTTTTAGTTTAGAAAAAGGTGAGGGGGGAAAAAAGAATTTGTTCCGAAAATCCTCTGGTCTAGTAGACACCCCTCCCCCAAGTGTCCCTATTTGCCAGGGACGTTCCCGATTTAGAGAAGCCATCCTGATTTCTGATTTGATCCTGGAATGTCCCACTTTCCCTTAGGATGTCCCTATTTTCATTGGAGAAATGTTGGAGGGTTTTGAGTTATCCAACCTCTGAGCCACCTGAAGGCAATCCTGTATAAAGGTTTTTAATGTTTTTTTATGTTTTATACATGTTGGAAGCTGCCCAGAATGGCTGGGGCAACCCAGTAAGACATGTAAAAGTAAAATTATCATTATGGAATGGGACGTCCCAATTTTCATTGGAGAAGTGTTGGAGGGTATAGTTTAGACTTTTACAAAGCGACACTATTGCTTCAGTGTGTTGTGAACTAGGCCCAATCTGAACTATACATTTAAAGCAGTATCATATCACTTTAAACAGTCATGGTGTTGCAGCGTTTTCCCCAGTCAATAAAGACAGACACGGGTTCTCCGAGGAAGGTCAGAATTTATTTGGTCCGCCTGCAGAGAGAAGACAGAGCAGAGGCCAACATCTGCACTTCCTGAGTCAATGGCTTACCTAAAAGAATCCAGGGAAATGTAGTTTATGAAGGGTGCTAAGAGTTTGTAGCAGCTACAGTTTCCAAAGTGGTTTAACAATCAATCCCTCTTTGGGAGGGAACTCTGAGAACTGTAGCTTGGGGGGGGGCAGTAGGGGTCCGTAACAACTCTCTCAACACCCTTAAAAAACTGCAGCTTCCAGGATTATTTGGAGGAAGCCATAACTGTTTAAAGTGGTGTGAAACTGCTTTAAATGTATTGTGCAGATAGAGCCTTTTTTTTTGCATATGTTTACTCAACAATTTACAGCATCAAAATAAGGTTATATAGTGGGGCTGTGGAGTCTTGCACCTACATTTCCCAACAGACTCTAATGTAACCAGCATCACTAGTGAGGTGGGTTGGTTTGCTATGAAAAAGAGGTAGAAACTGACTACAGTGCAGCTTGGTAGCAGATCTGCGTGGCACCAGTGGGGAGAAGTGGAGCAGAAAAACACTTAAATGAGCATAATCAAATAGGGTACAAATCTGTGTCCACTTTCCCTCTTTATGATGTTTTAATAGCCACACTAGACAAACTGCTGTGGCAAATGCTACATGTGGCCAAGCCTGCAATATTCTGCTATATCCAAAATACAGATAGGTACCACATATGCAGCCCACCAGTGTTAACAGGACTTTCCATATTTCATTCGTCACAGTTTATTGCCTTATTAAAATAATTTATTGGTTGCCTTTCAATCACTCCAGATACCCTAGAGTGAGACATAAATAAAACTAAGCAGAGCAAACTCAACAGCCTACAAAACTGGGGGGAAACCCATCATCAGCAAGAAAAAGTATTGCTTGTTGATTTTCCTTCTGATTTGGGGGATAACAACATCTCCAGTTATTATGTTGACTAGCTTCACGCGTTCTTGTTTTTCATGAATTTACCTCTTTTTCCTCTCTCAATTTCAGTGTTGACTAACTCTGTGGTCAACTCTGTGAAGGACAGGATAAAAATTTTTCCCATTAAAATTGATAAATATATGTTTAATTTGACACCTTCCTCATCAGTTACTGGACTGGTTAAACATTTATTCTCTAACCATTTTTAAGTAACCATTATTTTATACTCACTCCTAAAATTGGTTGTCTCTACTCATTGGGACACTATCAAAAGTTTGACTTCTATGTATATACTCTGATTTTTTTATCTATCTATCTATCTATCATCATCATCATCATCATCTATCTATCACTGCAAGTAATCACCTTTTACAGGTGACTTAGTTATTATATTACTCTGATAATTCTTTATTCATACACATTTATAGATGGATAAAGCAGTTTACAGTACAGTCCTATACATGACTACCCAAGTAAGCGGGTCTAGAACTGTAGCCTTAGTCTGGTACTATCTGTTGATAAATTGCCTGGAATATTCTTTACTGAAATGCCAGTTGTTGGTTGGACAAGCACCTACTCCCTTGCATGAGTAGCGCAAAGGCATGTATAGGAGTTGGACAAAGAGAGAGGGAAGACTGTACTATGCACAGCTAGAAAGTAGGGAAGGATCAAAAGAAGAAAAGGACAATGGATAGAGTGGCCAACAAAGTGTAAAAAAATGGAATACTGTAATGGAATGAAATTAAAAGGATGGATGGGCTGAAGGAAAGGAAAATGATAAGCACCTTGGCCTAGTGATGTGATTCCTGGCCCCTCGACTTGCTATATAAGCAAGTACACAAGTCCTCCTACCTGCATGGCTGGTTTATTACCAAGCCACGAAAGCCCCTCCGGATCAAAGGGAGCAATGATGGAAATTAGGGAGAGAGAGAAATGATTATTGATTGTTGTCATTATTAATATATTTATTAATTAATAATGGGAGTAGCGGAAAAGGGAATGAGAGAAGCTACAGAAGGAGGAAGGAAACAATATCAAAGGAGCAGGAAGAGGAGGGGTTAAAGAATTTGGAAATTTGGGGCAATGATACAAATTAAGTATGAAAGGAGAAGGGCAGAAGAAATGAGAGTTTACTAAAAATATTTTCAGACAAGTGAAACCTCATTTATCAACAGCACCCCATACTATTTTGTGGTATGTGCACCCCAAAATTTTTAGCCATGTTAAGTTGGCCCTGGGGATAGGAAGTCTGACAACCCCTGATTTTTTTTTGTAACATGATATCAACACTTGGCTCTTACAAGCATCTTGGCAGCTGTGATCTGTATCAGCAGAAGATTCTGAACTGTCTGTAAAGAGAGCCTTATATGTAGTGTATTATAGCAGTCTAGTTTAGATATAACTGGGGCTTTCTCCAGATGACAAATCAGCATGCAACAAAGTACAGTAAAAGGCACTTCTAGCTACTAACAGCACCTGTGCTGTAGAACAAAGTCCTTTAATACCAGTAGAGGCTGCTCCATTAGCATGAATGGGGCCCAACCTCAGCTGTCCATCAGCTAACCCCACCCACCTGCCAACCTTCTTCTTCTTTTGTTAAATAATTTTTACACCTGCCAACCTTCTTAATCACAACCAGGGCAGGAAGTGGCCATGGCTGTCAGCTTCCTCCTCCTTAGTCTCAGTCCCATCCTTTTAGAACTCAGCAGGAAGGAGGACAAAATTAGAATTAGTTGGCTTCGCTTCTCATTGGCTGTTGCACCACCTACTGTTGGCTCCCTGCCTTTTGCTCTACCATTCCCAAGTGGGCACCAGCCACCACTGCTTAACACAATTCTGGTTCCGCCCTCTAGAAAGGATCAGAACTGCAATGAGACTGAGCCTCAAAGGCCCAGTCCCTATGGTTGATGGTCCTGAAAGCTGCTGAAAGGTCTTGCAAAACCTGCTCTCTCCATCTCCATCCCCTACCATGGCATGAAAGGTGGAATTAATTGTTATATCCTCTAAATTTGACTCAAACTAATCCCACAGCCTTGGACATTGGGAATAGCATATTAGCATATTGCTTGTTGTTGTTTAGTCGTTTAGTCGTGTTCAACTCTTCGTGACCCCATGGACCAGAGCACGCCAAGCACTCCTGTCTTCCACTGCCTCCCGCATATTGCTTATCTATAACTAATAGCCAATGGGGCTATTTTGCTGTATTTTGTCATAATAAAAAATTGCATTGTTTTTGCCTCTCAGTTACCTAGTACCCTGTTTAATCAAGTGAAACTGAACACTTACAACAGATTAACAGAATAATAATTAGGGAGATAAATAAGGGGGAAATCCACAGGTAGATTAAGCATTTAACTGTGTATTTGCAAATATAATAATAATAATAAAAAATATTTTGTTGGTTTATTTCCTTCGCTCATTTATTGTTACAGTGGTACCTCGGGTTACATACACTTCAGGTTACAGTTGCTTCAGGTTACAGACTCCGCTAACCAAGAAATAGTTAAGAACTTTGCTTCAGGATGAGAACAGAAATTGTGCTCTGGTGGCGTGGCGGCAGCTGGAGGCCCCATTAACTAAAGTGGTGCTTCAGGTTAAGAACAGTTTCAGGTTAAGAACAGACCTCCGGAATGAATTAAGTACTTAACCCGAGTACCACTGTATACATCCTTGCTCAGATGTTTATCATCATAGATTGCAATGCAGTTATAACCATATCTACTCAGAAGGAAGCCATAGGGAATTCAATGGGGTTTATTCTCAGGTAAATGAGATTAGGATTGCAGCCTAAATCTCTGATAGGAAGGCTGGTGTTATGTGTGTGGTGTCGATGAAGCAGTGGACTGTAGGACCTGGAGGGATCCCAAGGAAGCATTTTGCCTTGCTGGTGAGACTGAGCTGGAGAGACCTGGAAATGAAAGTAAAAAAGACCAAGAGGCACATGGAGGGAGCTGTATCGGCAGCAGCTCTAGAAACAGAATGTTGCCTTCTGTAATTAAATAGCAATTACTAGTATTATTACTAACCGTAATAATGCTCTAATAATATCTCTAGTAATATCATAGCATTTATCAAGGCGGGGTGTAGGGGGAATCCCCAAGCAGAGGAGGTGAGTTGGTTATTTTGTTGTTTTTCTGTGAAGGAAGGAAGCTAGGAAGGAGGAGGGTGGCTGGGTTGGGGGTATGAAGGAGCGAAGATGGGCTAAAATAACCCTGAAGCAAAACTGCTCAGCTTTGCAGATGAGTAACGGAAATATTTCTCACTGCATATGTTGCTTAATCCCAACCAGAATTAAATAGGACGCGAAAGTCACACTACTACCGTCTCTCCGGGTCGAATTCTTAAAAAGATAAATGTCTTCTTCCTCCCTGTGCTCCTTCTTTTGAGGTTGGGAAGTTTTTTTGGGAGGAACTAGCGGGAGCTCGGAACTGAATGGCGATCCCAGAAACCTTTTGACTTCTCTCACGGTTTCATTTCGGGTCTGCGGTTCTAGAATTTTTATTTCATTTTACTGTATTTTATTGCTTTCTTGCTCAAAAGCACTGACACGGTTTCTTTGCAGAAACGCTGATCTTGGACGAGGGGGAGTTGAGTAAAAAAAAAAGGTTTGGCTGTTGCCTCATCTGGCATTTTATAATCCATGACTTGTAAAAGTTACGTTGCTTAGCAGAACGGAAATGTTTCTTTTAAAATCATTTTTGGGCGGTTTTTTTTTTAGTCTGGAACCAGCCGTGACAGTTTGTTGTGAGCTTAGCAGCACCAAGTTGTGTGTTGTGGCTTCCGAAGGCAGAAGGCAGGCGGCTCCTTCCTTGTCTGTTTCCGCGTTCGAGGCACATCTAAGGCCGGTTACTTTTGCTAACCGAGGCCGGGGATTTGGAGGCCTTGGATTGGTGGGAATGGGGTCAATTCTAGAGGAATTAAACCAGAAAAATGTGCATGTGTGTTTTAGGGCTGTTAATGGGGGTTGGGGGGGGCAATGAAAAGGAGGACCGTATTTGAAGGAGCAGAGCAATAGAAGCAAACCAACAAGACGGAAGATGCCGCCAATGCGCATAAACAGGGTACAATCCACATCGAAAAGGCTTACTAATGTCTGTTATACGCCTGTTGCATTATAGTATGATAGCTAACCAAAATATGTTGAAAACTGGGAGAATGAACACTAGGGGAATGGGAAACGTGTTGAAACCGTTGCTGAAAAAGCGATTCTGTTCCCTCCCTCCCTCCTTTTCCCTGCATATTGCAGAGGTCTTTACGGTGCATGTAAATATTTGGGGAGACAAGCGCTAGGGAGATGTGTGCTGTAAAAGTAATCTTACATTTGGGTTTGCAGCTCAATGCTACCCTGTTAATGTGCGATATTGAGAGCTGCAACTAAGCCGCACAGCTTTCTTTATGCAAAGCAAAACAAAACATCACAATTTGCATGAATGCAACGAACCTGTTGTGATTCTGCCAAGCCATTTGTACATTTTCTCGGTAGAGTCTCCTTATCGCATAATCGGTGAAACGTTCCAAACATATGGGATTATAAAAGCTTTGTATTACAAACTCCCAAGGTTCAGGGTTGGAGAGGAGTCTAGAAAACATGAGATTTGAAACCATGATAATAAATGTGTCCCTTTTCATTTGTTTCATTTCTCATTTTAAGCTTTTAGTGAATGTTATAGCAGTTTTAAGCTTTTACTCTGCAGTATACCATCTCTGAGCAATTTGTAGATCCAGTTTAAAATACAAAAACAATCCAAAGTTTAAACAGTGAAAACAATGAAAACCAACAATAATACAGAACTGGAAATAAAAGAAATCTAAAGAACAGTATACACAGCAGCAAAAACAAAAAAAAAATTAAAACCAGCTAGAAGAATAATTAGGTGGATCTTAAAACCCCATAAAACGACTATCCATTGTACACAGGAACATAGGAAGCTGCCTTATACAGTGGTGCCTCACAAGACGAAATTAATTCGTTCTGCGAGTTTTTTCGTCTTGCGAATTTTTCGTCTTGCGAAGCACGGTATTAACGGTTTTAAGAAAAAGGAAACAAACTCGCAATACGTTTTCGTCTTGCGAAGCAAGCCCATAGGGAAATTCGTCTTGCGAAGCAACTCAAAAAACAAAAAACTCTTTTGTCTTGTGAGTTTTTCGTCTTGCGAGGCATTCGTCTTGCAAGGTACCACTGTACTGAGTTAGACCATTGGCAAAATCATTCTGCACCATCTAGTTTAAACTGTAGGCATGTCATGAGCAGCTATTGGCTAGTGCCTGTAACATCATATTAAAAGTGAAACATTTGTTTCCTGCTCCCTATTATGTTACTCCATTCGAGAACTTTAAAAAACCCTAAGAAGCAAAATACTACCAGGTGCGCTACTCCAGCAGAAGTACTCAAGGTGATTTTAAATATTTGTGCAAAAAATAAAAACCAACCTCAGACTTCTTCCCACCCCTCATAGCAGTGTTGTTGTGTTTCTTTTTCCCCCTTTCTAAAAATTAAGGCAGTCTAAAGGGATTGACAGACAAATAATAATATAACCAACCAATATTAATACCATGGTTACAAAATATATTTTATAGTTAAACAATCTCATGATGTTTTAAAGTCTGCTTAAATTTAACAATAAATTGTTACTCCTTTGAGAAGGACCTTTACAAAAATGCATTTCCAGACAAGGACATCAGCATATTTAGATGACAGTTCTGTGGTGCATATGTGGGCAAAGTTATATGTAAGATGCATTAACTTTTGTATCACCTGCCATATAAGAATCCCAAATACTGTTTTTTTATTTGGAAATTTATGTAGAGTTATGACTTCCGATAGGATTATGTATTTGCTGGCTGATTTTATTAATAAATAATAGTAAACTTATGAATAATCTCTTACATTATCACAAAAACAGCTTTAAAAAGTTTTGAAAACAGTAATAACCTTTCACAAACACAAACAGTACAAAATGAACAGAGACCTTTTCACCCAGCTGGAAAAGCTTATTGAAATAACAAAATCTTCAATTGTTTCTGGAGAGTACAGATAGTAGATTCCTGTTCTATCTAAACTTGAATGCTGTTCTACAAAACAGGGGTAACCACATTGAAAGCCCTGCTCCAAGTCACTTTGGAACACGTTTCTGCTATTTTGGGCACTTGAAGGAGAAACACTCTTGCAGAACACAGAGACCCACTGTGTGTATAAGGGATAAAGCGGTCACTTAAGCAGCCTAGTCCTAAGTTGTATGTGCTAGTACCGAAACCTTGAATTTGGCCCAGTAGTAGATTGGCAGCCCATGCAAATGCTGCAAACAAAGTGCTATATGCTGCTGGTGGTTTATCCCCACAAGCAACCTAGAACTGCATTGTACATTACCTGCAGTCTCAGGGCCAGCTTCAAGGGTAGCCCCAACATAGAGTGCATTGCACTAATCGAACCTTGAAGTACCAATGCATGGACAGTAGTGGTTAGGCTCTCATCATAGACACCTGCATCTCTAGGGACAGAGCTATATCTAGAAGCAGTCTACACTTTGCAGCTGCTCTTTTGGGGAGTGTTTGGCCCCATCCTGGATCGGGACACATTCTCACTGAACCTAGAAACCCAACCCCCACCCCCTACACACACTGTCTTGCCTGGATTCAGACTCTGTTTATTAGCCCTCATCCAGCCCACCACTGCTTCCAGACACTGGTCCATGGCCTGCTCAGCCATTTCCAATTCAGATATTACAGATAAAAAGTTTTGGGTATCATCAGAGTACTGATGACTCTTCATCTTCTAATGGCTGCTCCCAGTGGCTTCATATATATGTTAAATAGCATTGGAGACACTATAATGCCCTGTAGCAGCCCATAACTCAAGAGCCAGGGGGGCTGAGAATCACATATTCAGTGTGGAAGTATCCCTGGAGATAAGCCCAGAGTCACTGCAGAACAGTGCACCAATATCCATCTCCCATAGATGGTCCAAGAGGATTTCATGGCCGATGATACTGAAACCTGTAATCAGGAGTTTAAGCAGGAGCAGCAGGGTCGCATTCCTCCTGTCCCTCCCGATAGAGGTAATCTATCAGAGTGACCATGGCCGATTGATCCGAACTCAGTTTAGAATGCATCTAAACAGTTTCCTCCTAGAATGCCTGTGTGCGCTGTCGCAATTCTCATGAGTACCTTGCGACTGGGATGTATTTGTAGGCACCACTTCCTTATGCAAAGGAGTGTTCACTGGACCCACCCAGTCACGCCCACTCTGCAGCTAGCTTTAATCAGTTTTGAAAAGCAATGATCGAGACAGCACTGGAGGCATAGTCACAAATAACTTGTCCAAGTCCTCAGGCTGCCAGAACTGATCCCACAAAGTAAGACTTGACGGAGCATTGCAAACTTCACTCAGAGCTTAGTCTTAATTTGTGTTGTACGTTATGGGATATGCTGAATCTCACTTGGACTTTTCCCCCTGTGTTGAACTTTCTCCTTTTTGCAATGACATTTTGGTTTCAGCAGATAAAAATACCCGGTTTCCAGCAATATAGAATACTAATTCTGCTGCAGATTCAGTGCATCTTGTGTTGCACCTGACCAACTGAAAAATACTTTTAAGTTTGTCTAGCACAGCTAAAGATAGCTGAGAACAAATTTTCCTGTTTTGTATTTTTAATATGAAATGTCAGAACAGCGCACTGAATCATGACATAATTTTTGTGCTCTGAATTTTTCTCCTGAACTGAGTTGGTTGCTTGGTTTCATCTTCATCTTTCATGTTCCTAGTTGTACCACCATAAATAATTCACAGCCTTCATTTTGGTTTGCATCTTCAAAATTGGAAAAACCTAGTGTAGCTAGGTGGGTCTTAGAATCTGTGTTGCCATGAATTGCGTAGAGTAACATCTCTGTGCATAAGATGGTAGTTTCTATGGTATCCTGGAAATCAAAGCCTGCCTTTCAAGTTTGCTTTCTAAAAAGTGGGCACTTGGGGATGTATGAAAATGGAATGTTGAAAAGGTAATGCATACATCTATCTGGAAGAAAATGTGTCAACAGAAAGCAGGATTTTGTTCCTCTGTACAGACCCCAGTCCATTGATGTTCATTGAGGCTGGAATGGTAGCAGGTCAGCTGAGGCCATTTTGGGGCAGTGTGGATCAAGCAGACTTTATCGTGCTTTAAAAAAGGGGGGTGGCTACTGTAATATGCATTTACATGTAGTTATGTTTAATAACAGTATTTGCACTCTTCTATTGGTCCCTAGGCCCATTTGAGGGTGGGAACTGTTCTCTATATAATTCTAAATGGGTTTAACCCACCACATTTGAAGCAGCAGCTGTGAGAGACCATTCCTCAGTGTTGGAATGCATGCTTTAGCAGCGGAGATGAGCAACTTGTGGACCTCCAAATGTTGTTGGACTTCTAACTCTCATCAACCACACTCAGTGCTTAGGAAACATTGGAGGATTCATACAACATCTGGACAACCACAGGTTTCCCATCCTTTCTTTACTTGTACAGTCCCAGGTACCTCTAGTTAAAACTATCCTATGTTATTGTTAAAGTTGTATTGTGGGGTACGCTCAAACTCTAAAGGTTTAATATATGCTTTTCCCTACTGCAGTGACTGTAATGGAGAGACAAAAACGTAAAGAAGAGATAGAGAAGGGACTACAGTTCATCCAGTAAGTGAACAAGTTTGGAGACTGTGTTGTTTCTATTCTCTTTAATCTGTGAAATCGAGCAATCCTTACTTTAATATATTTATTTTTTAATACATATAATTTATTTTCCCTTCAAATGAAGACCAAAACAGTTCACACAATAAAGCAGTTCATAAATAGCAGCAGAAATACGCTGACATAAAAATACCTAGCTTAAGAAAAACTTGTAAAGAATCAAACCACAATTCTTGTACAGCTTCCAAAATTGTGGCAGCACTATAACATAAGTAACACTTGTTGCATGGAAATGTATACTTGGCCTTGAGTTGAGTGTACTTTGTTTTTTTACCTTTGTAAGGGAGAACTGTGAAATACAGTGGTACCTTGGAACTCAAATGTAATCCGTTCCGGAAGACCATTCGACTTCTGAAACGTTTGAGTTCCAAGTTGTGGCTTCCAATTAGCCGACAGCTAGGTTTTTGCACAGTGGAAGTTGTGTCGGACGTTCGTGTTCCTCGGAACGTTTGAAAACCAGAGCGCTTCTGGGTTTTTGGCGTTCAGGAGCCGAAACGTTCGAGAATGGAGCAGTTTGAGTTCCGAGGTACCACTGTACTAGAAGTTTGCAGTCTTAACTTTATAGAGTAAGGCTGCAGATTGGAAGGCTCCTATTTTAATAAGACTATTCTAGAGTAAATTGAATAGATTGTCATGGCAACTGTCTATGGTTATAGGGTTAAGACTTGCACTCCAGTCGATAGTCGCTTTTGGTTCATACAACTGTACAATACAGTGGTGCCCCGCAAGAAGAATGCCTCGCAAGACGAAAAACTCACTAGACGAAAGAGTTTTCCGTTTTTTGAGTCGTTCCGCAAGATGAATTTCCCTATGGGCTTGCTTCGCAATACGAAACATCTTGCGAGTTCTTGCGAGTTTGTTTCCTTTTTCTTAAAGCCGCTAAGCCGTTAATAGCCGCTAAGCCGCTAATAGCCGTGCTTCGCAAGACGAAAAAACCGCAAGACGAAGAGACTCGCGTAACGGATTAATTTCGTCTTGCGAGGCACCACTGTAGTACAATTATAAGGGATAGAGGAGCCAAATTCCCTTCAAATCTGTGGCGCACACCCAACTTTTTCACATGCGTAGCAGCCCATGGAAACTGTTAACTAGCTACACTTGGGAACCTAGGCAAAACCTTTTCCATTTGTATATTGAAGAATGTTGATTCATTCTATTGAAGGAAAATACTTGACAGACATAATTTATTGAACTGGACACAATGCCTGTGATGTGGAAAACAAGTAGTGGTATCATTTCCTAGTCAGAGAAACCAAAGTGTGTGTTTGGGTTGTTATCTGGCTGTGGAGAAAGTATTGCCTCCATGAGGCCACCTAGCAATGCAGGGGACATTTTATCAACACAGGAAACATTGGACTTTTGGATGGCAATAGGCCAATTGCCACCCAAGCGAGTTGAAACAATTTATTTGTTTCCCTCTATTTAAGTTTCCATCTATGATAGTTCAGGAATGATGTTGTGCTGGCTAATACTATAGTTGGTGGTACATTACCCAGAGGGCTTTGTTTTCCTGTGTTACCGTATTTTTCGCACCATAGGGTGCACCGGACCATAGGGCGCACCCAGTTTTTAGGGGGGGAAATCAAGAAAAAAAATATTCCCCCCCCCAGCCCCAAAGAGCAGCGTACAGGCTGCGCACAACCTCTCCCTGCCGGAGGGGTTGAGCGGGGCTATGGCACAAGCAGGATCCCGCTCGCTGTTTTGGCTTCCCCTTTAGCCCCGTGCAGCCTCTCCTTGCCAGGAGACGCTGCCCAGGGCTAAAGAATCCATAGCCCCGTGCAGCCTCTCCTTGCCGGAGGGGTTGCGCGCAGCTATGGAGGAAGCCAAGGCAGCGAGCGGGATGTTTTGGCTTCCCCTTTAGCCCCGTGCAGCCTCTCCTTGCCGGGAGACGCTGTGCAGGGCTTTCCTGGCTTTACTGGGAGGTGGGGGGATTCCCTCACCTCTCCCAAAAGCCCGCAGAAGCCACGCAACCCCTTTAAAGAGATCGCGGCTTCTCCTGGCTTTCCTGGGAAGTGGGGAAATTCCCCACCTCCCGCAAAACCGGCAGAAGCCGCGCGCACTTTAAAAGGGCTGCACGGCTTCTCCTGGCTTTCCTGGGAGGTGGGGGAATTCCCTCACCTCTCGCAAAAGCCCGCAGAAGCCGTGCAACCCCTTTAAAGAGATCGCGGCTTCTCCTGGCTTTTCTGGGAGGTGGGAGAAGGGACTAATGCGGCCAGTCAGTCCCTTCTCCCTCCTGGAGAAAAGCCCGCAAGAGTGCACGGAGCTTGTGTGCGGCTCTTGGGGGCTTTTCCCGCCTGCCTCCCCCCTACATTCGCTCCATAGGATGCACACACATTTTCCCTTGCTTTTTAGGAGGGAAAAAGTGCGTCCTATGGTGCGAAAAATACGGTAGTCACTTTCACTGCCTTGAAAGTCAAAAGAAATTTAAACCGATACCAAAGCACAGCCAATTTTTTGATTATCTTGTCTTAGTAGTTTTCTGTTTGCTGTTACTTTAAGCCTACTTTCTTGCCCAAAGAATCAGTGTGTGTGTGTGTGTGTGTGTGTGTGTGTGTGTGTGTAAGCATAAGCAAAGTATTCTTCAGTAACAAGTAAAATTGTGTGCAACGGCTGAAGCCAAAGGGATAATGCAGCTTCCTGTACACATAGTTTAAAGTACAGGCCATGAAAAACTTAAGTGCATTCTGCAAACTCATATCTGAAAAGTGAGCATACCAATGCCCACAGGTAAAAAATAAGAGGTTCCCTATTTCTACTTATATTATTCATTTATGCTGCTTCACATATTAGAGTGATGTATATATATATATATTTCTGTACTTCTGAAGCCCTTTGTCTTTGTTTAGGTCCACATTACCCCTAAGCCAAGAAGATTATGAGGTAATTTTAAGAGTTTCTTTTTTAAAAAAAGAAGTACCAAATGTTATCTTGACAAATTAGTCCTTGTGACTGGGGTGGTGACGGCAGGGAGGAAAAGGGAAGTAGTTGCTTCTTGCTGCTGGATGGGCAGAGTTGCTCAGAGAACAGGGATAGGGAAGCTTTTTCAGCCCAAGGTCCATATTTCCTTCTGGGCAAGTTTTTGAGGGCCACATGCTATTAATGGATGTGGCTAGGATTCAGGAGATGCCATTCTAAATCGCATTGAGATTATCAGCTCGGTCTGTGTGGGTGATTTTTATACTAATTTTATATCCTCCTGCTACTGAGATCTCCAATTGGTTCAGTTCTCAAAATATGAGTATGTAAAAAACTATCAACATTGTGGGCATTTACTTTCCAATAATAATTTTGTTGGTTGACTAAGTTACTTAAATACGTTGACTTCAGTGTGTCTGAGTACAGCTTAGCTCTGATACTGCCAAATTTGCTTTAATTGAACAAGCATGCTATGCATACTTGCCCGAGATATATATTATTTTAAAATGGGAAACTTGAATTTACTCAAGCCCACTTACTTACTGAGTTGTTGCCTGGCTCTTAAGACTCCTCATTTGAGTTCTGCAGCCTCTGGCAGGACATCTGCCCTAAAACCTTTGACAGATGTCCCCTCTCCAACCATAGCTATGAGTCTAGGTATCTCCTTTGCTCTAAAAATGTACTGTGACTGGTCTAGGTCCTTTTTTTCTTGTCAAGTCCTGTCCACACTGTGTTGTGACATTGGCACACTGCATAGCAGGTGCATAGCAGACAGTAATATTGTGAAGCACAATATCATTGAGATTAGATGAAGAAAAAGCAGGTGAGAGCTGTGTTCACACATCATGCTAAGCCATAAACCATGGCTTAATGTGCATGAGTGAATCTTGTCCATTGTATTCTTCCCCACTCCTCCAGCTGACACTGTAAGGAAACAAATGGCTTGGATAGACACATTCACCGTACAATGCCATGATGAAGCTTTCCAATCAAGGAACACTGTTTCCCTCAGCAGACAAGCTTTTTCTCATAAACCTGTCCACAGGGAATTGTGACTTTCTAGGATTATTCGAATTATGTGCCTCCTTTATATTCTGAGAGAACGTATATAGTGATTTTGATGCCTTTTTGGCACAGTAGCAAGGACACCACGGGATGGCATAGTGTTTTTTCTTCGTTTCTTATTCCTGCAGGCTTTTTTGCAAAAGCTGGTGAGAAACTTATTTGCAGAGGGCAATGATTTGTTCAGAGAGAAGGATTTCAAGCTAGCGTTGGTTCAATATGTCGAAGGGCTGAATGTGGCCGAATATGCAGCTTCAGATGAGGTGGCCATTCCGGTGGATCTCTTATGCAAGCTGCATGTCAATCGGGCTGCCTGCTACTTTGCCATGGTGAGTAGTTTTGGGCTAGTTTGTGCATGTATGTGCTTTATTTGATCTCTCCATCACTGGATGACTTGCGTATAAGCAGGTTTAAACTGCATTAAAGTAATTTTGGTTGAAATAAAAAAACATTTTTTTCAATATACAGTATGTCATGGCTCACTTGCCTTTATTTGATGTTGCAGTCATCAGGTGATGATCATACTTGTGCAATTCATTCCACATTCCATTGCCTTTAGGGGGTGCGGGTAGGGATCTGACTATAGGCACTATACACCAAGGGGAAGAATTATCCATTATTGTGGGTATTAACCTGACACACTGTTCTTTTGCTCCCCCTTTCTTTTCTGCACAAGCAGAACTTAAGAGCAATGAGTTAGGTCGGACAGATCTTGCATGGAAGGAGACGTGTAGGATCTGTTTATGTCAAGCTTCTTATGGTTATGATAGTCTCGTTTTCCAAAAGGGCCTGCATGAGAAAGCTCTGGAAGACAGTGAGAAGGCTCTGGGATTCAACAAGGAGAACATCCGTGCGCTATTCCGGAAAGCCCGCTGCTTGAATGAGCTAGGGAGGCACAAGGAAGCATATGAATGTAACAGCCGCTGCTTGCTCTCCCTCCCGCATGTAAGTAGTGGCTTGCACATTTACAGTCATTGACTTTTTAACGGAAAGTGCATAAATGTGTTAAAATAAATTACAATCAAACTTGAGATTTCCATTCCCCTCCTCTATCATTGGCTCTCTCATCTTTTCTTTTGATCCAAAGAGCAATAAAAAGGAATCTACAAATCTTCCAAGCATTGAGCAAACTAATAAATAGAGCATGCAGTTTCCAGCACAAATATGAAAGCCTATTATTGTCTTTAGCACTTAGATTTGCAAATATATTTTTATATATGACAGCTTCTGGGGGAAAGCCCCTGCTCTCTCTTACTGCAAGTGCTGCTTCTCCCCCCACCCCACCCAAGTTTCCCTGCCATTATGTCCCCTCTTGCAGAGACACTGTCCCTTGTTCTGCTCATATTTCACCTCTAGATATTTTGGTCTGGATTGGAGAGACGGCACAAGAGAGAGCTTGGGAGCAGGGAGCAATAGGCGTTTAGAGGATTCATGCAATTTCACTTATGAAATTTACACAATTACACTTATATGACGGGCCTGGAACGTAACCCCGCATAAGTGGGGGGGGGACCCCTGTATTTGGAAAGAATTGAGTGAAATACTTTGTACACCTACAAAAGTGCTCATTGTCTTCTCCTTGAAGGATGAAAGTGTGGCACAACTCGGCCAGGAGCTTGCACAGAAACTGGGATTAAGGATCCGGAAAGCCTATAAGAGGCCTCAGGTATAGTATTCATGCCCCACGTTTATTTCAGTTGGCATATATAGGGTTATATGATTGCATCCGCCCAACAATCCTTTGGGATACGTTAGACTGAGAGTGACTTGCCTAAAGCTAGCTAATGAGCATCAAGATGGTTGTGCAGGGATGTGAACTTGGGGTTCCAGCATCCAAATCCAGCACTCTATCCCAAGGTTGCACAGCATGTGATTCAGCTCACCAACAATGTGTGGTAACCTCTGAAGTGCTTGGTACCCTCCCATGTTTATTCAGTCCTCAAATAGAAAACAGAAATAGGAAGTGTTGAGTTCTGGTGAACTGCCATTCATGGCCAGTGCTCAGAATTGGGCTTGGTACAGTTGAGCAGGTCTAGTTTGGGGATCCTGTGTGGCCCTCCTGATGTTTACTGGACTCCATCTTTCCTTACTCCCAGACTTTGTGGCCAAAGGTCAGGGATTATGGGAGTTGTTGTCCACCAGCATATGAAGGGCCTCCATGTCTTTTTTGGGGGGGGGGGGAGTACTAATTGGTGTGTACAGTTGCGTGTAAATGTGTGTATAAAAGGCTTATGGCAAACCAGAAGGTTGGAATGGTGAGTACAGTGGTACCTCGATTTTCAAACGTAATCAGTTCCGGAAGACCGTTCAGCTTCCGAAACGTTCAAAAACCGAAGCATTTACTTCCGGAAAACTCTATACAGAAGCCGTGTGGCATGTTTGACTTCCGAAAAGCGTTCAGAAACTGAAGCAGTTACTTCTGGGTTTTTGGCGTTCAAAAACTAAAACGTTCTACTTCCAAGACGTTCGAAAAACCAAGGTACCACTGTATTCTATTTTAAGAGCACCTGCCACTATTATAAATGGTATTTAATTAGAAATGGCATTTAATTCAGCTAGCCAGCTCAGAACAGAATCATACTGTCTGGCTACCTATGAAGACCTTAGAGAGCATGACTACCTACCTCCTCTCCTGTCAAAACTTAGCACTATTAGTTTCACCCAGGATAAATCCAAAATAAGACTATCCACTTGCAAATGATGCAATATTCCAAACACAGTACTGTAGTCAGTTCTTGTTGGGAATAGCATGTAACCTGCAAGTAGATTGTCCCATTTGACTATTATATAAGCATGCCTTGTACTGAATGTAGAAAACTGGGAAGTGAGGTTTAGCTGCAATTTCTAGTCTGTGTACAGGGTGCATGTACAGTGCAATATATATATATATATATCTCCAGTCAGTGCTATCTTGTATGTTTACTTGCTCCTTAATATGGAAGTGACTTTGCGTCAGAATCTTGTAGATTACCACTGTTCTCTCTTCCTTGCAGCAGGAATTGGAAACGTTTTCTCTACTTAGTAATGGCCTGTCTTCTGCCTTACCAAATCAGGTAGCCTTTATTGATAAAACAGTGCAAGTGAGACTTGAAACAACATTTTGCAGTGTCAAGTGCTGCTGTTCAGCATGCCAGCTAGCCAGGACCTCTTAGTGAAACTTCATTTCATTCCTTTCCCCATTTCCCGCTTAAAGAGTTTTATTGTTCTTCAAACCCTGGGATTTCACCAAGTATGCTGATATCTCCCTCATGTTTCTCAGTGATCCTGCTTGGCTAGAGTACTATTGGCACTCACTGCCTAAGTCCACTGTTGCAAGAAATGATGCCTCCTAGAAATGTTTAATTTTAAGTGCAATTGATTGCATTCCAGAATTTTAGCAGAATCTGAAAAACTGTAGAGAGTGCTGACTGGCTAGCTAATGGCCCTTGGGACAGTCATGAAGTCAGTCAGTTGTGTAGAGCACTGATTGTCGGTCCAACTAGTCACATAACTCACATGGCCTGAGCAGTATTTCAAGGTTGTTTTTTTTAAAAAAAATAAACCCAACAGGAAAGGGATCCAAAGAAAATTTAACCAGATGAACATATGCCCAAGTTTTTTGTGTTTTTTAATAGTTGAAAGCTTGCCTGAAGTCTGGCGGGAAGGGTGAAAGAGAGGAAATTAGTGCTAGTTTCAAAGACCAGTATGTGTGTCAGTAAAGTGAATAAACACTTTGCAAGAGGAAAAAACTGCAAACTCCTGTAGGTAGGTACATCACTGTGTGCCCTGAAATAACTCTTTGTGAAAGTTGGAGAAAAGATTTGAATGCTGAGAGTAGCAACGCCCCCCACCCTGCCAGAGGGATGACAATAGTATATTCTTTCTCTTTGCAGACTGTTTCTAATGGATTGGGCTCTGTAGATGACATTGAAACAGGTGATTAGTTTTATGTTCCTTCGACTCATAGCAATTTTTGTCTCTTTGGTTTGCCACTAAGGACTATAACTTGAGTGACAGAAAATGTTCTGGTAGAGGGGAGGGCGGAAGTAAGTTTTACTCTTGCAACTTCCCTCCCTGAGCCAGCTTTGAGAACCTCGCACTGGGCTTGCAGCTGTTCCCCTGAACTGTGTGGATCGGCAGAAAAACCAATGTATGCTGAAGCTCCCAGCACATGTAAATGAAATCCACTGCAGGAGATACCCTTTTCCCATGATACACAGGGCGCCAGCATGCTATAAAATCTGAAGAAACTGTTAGAAACATGACTTTAGATTGTACTCTGCCAGATACTGAAAGACATATTTTGAAGATGGGAGACACAGTATAGTACAGGCTTTGAGTGCAGAAGGTCTCTGGTTCAATTCCTGGTATTTCTGTCTGTCTGTCTGTTTATGTAAGGATCACATAGTGGGTGATGAGAGGGGGGCGGGGAGAGACCTCTGCCTGAGACCCTGGACAGCCACTGCCCCAGAGTGTACAATATTGGGCTAGTTGGACAAACGTCCTGGGCTGGCATACGGTAGCTTCCTATAGTTCAGAGAGCAAGAGTCTCTGAGCTTCAATTTCTGCTACTGGATTGGGATCTGTGTGTGCGCTGCCATCTGGATGTGATCAAGTAATTTGCCTTGCAGACAGCTCTTTCGGTCTCCAGTGCGTCACCCCTCCCAATGTCTCTGTGAGTGAGGACTCTGCCTTTCCATCAACTGACTTGGATACGAAAGGCACACCAACTTCACTGCCTGCTGCCACCCTGCTCCCTTCTACTGATGCTGCATCCATGCCAGGGTCTGAGGGTGCTGATGACTTCACTGAAGGAGGAGTTCTTGGGCATGAACTGGACTCCATTCTGGATTCTATTGCAGATGGGTCACAATACCCTCTGGTAAGAGTGGATTTCCTAGGTCTACCTATCCATCTACGTCTCTGCTTTCAGTCACTCCTTTCTGACTTTCCCTCACTCTTCTCCTCATGCACTGGAGAGTTCTGTGTCTTTCTCCCTCCTCCTTTTGGTTTCTCTTCCCTGCCCACAAACTCCTCCTTTTGGTTTCTAAGTATCTGACGAGATCTGAGCCAACCTGAGTATATTATACATTTCCATGTGGCATTGTTTATCACCTTGGGAACACAAAGGGTGTGTGCACATCTAAAACTCCCAACTGTCTAGCTGTGGTTAAGCAATTGGAAGCAGAGTTCTGGTCTCCCTGTCCACACACGTTGGCCTTTTGGAGTGCAAATTGTTCTCTACTAGTCTTACATGCAATTAAGTCATACAGTGGCATTGATGTTGACAGTGGCCGAAGTTGCCCAGGGTTTCCTCCCCAATATCCATTTCAAATCTTGGTTAAGAGAAAACTCTGATACCAGGAATGGGGAAGTCCATAGCTTATTGGCAGAGCATGTGTTGTGTACAGTATGCAAGAAATCCAGGGTTCAATCCCTGACACCTCAACCTGAAAGGATCCTGTATTAGGAAAGTATTAGGCATGTACTAGGAAAGACCAACTGTCCTTGTTAGACAGCAACTGCTAATCAGAGTAGATGGTTCTTTCCTAGATATACCAATGCTCTGGGTCAACATTGAGCACATTCTCCTTCCCTGAAGCTTCTTTCTGGTACCCTACTGGATTTGTTCACCTGTTGCATTCTTCCTCCCCGCTCCCCCAATCCAGTTAATGCCACTTATGACTCTGACACCTGGTTAGTCTTGATGCCTATGTAATGCTGAACTGCAATGGGGGAGGCAGGAGTTGCACCCCAAAAGAGAGGAGGCTCTGTGTGAATAAAAGTGTTGGTGCTGACCTTTAAAGCCCTAAATGGCCTCGGTCCAGTATACCTGAAGGAGCGTCTCCATCCCCATCGTTCTGCCTGGACACTGAGGTCCAGCGCCAAGGGCCTTCTGGCAGCTCCCTCACTGTGAGAAGCCAAGTTACAGGGAACCAGGCAGAGGGCCTCCTCGGTAGTGGCACCCACCCTGTGGAAAACCCTCCCACCAGATGTCAAAGAGAACAACTACTACCAGACTTTTAGAAGACATCTAAAGGCAGCCCTGTTTAGGGAAGCTTTTAATGTTTAATGGATTACTGTACAATATTTTAATATTTTGTTGGAAGCCGCCCAGAGTGGCTGGGGAAGCCCAGCCAGATGGGTTGGCTATAAATAAATTATTATTATTATTATTACCCAGATACTGGTTGATAATGCAGCTGCGTTGGAGAAAGTAACTGTAAACTAGTCTTCAATTCTGTCTGTCATAGTGCCCTGTGCTACCTACCTTGTATATCTGGTGTATTTCATCTCTTCCCTCTAACATGTTTTATCTCTCTTGCTGAAGTCCCTGGTCCAAGGTGCCATCCCTGCCAACCTGTCTAGTGAGATGCCCCAGCTGATCCCCGTGTTTCCAGGTGGCACTCCTCTGCTCCCTCCCGTGGTGACTGCCAGCATTCCAGTCTCCACTCCGCTCCCTCCTGCTTCCTTTGGCCTTGTGATGGACGCCACTAAGCAGCTCTCCTCCTCATCTGTCCTGGATGCCTTTGAATCGCCTGTGGGTGGCAGTGGCAGCTCCCCTTTGGACTCACTGGATTCGCTGGACTTGCTCCCATACACAGAGTCCCGCCTCGATGTGTTGGATGCTTTTGGAACCAATAGGGGATCACTAGATGCGCTGGATTCCTTTACTGTTGGTAGGTGTGGGGCCTGTTAGAGTCACATTATCTTTTGAGAAAGGGCGGGCAATGCTGCATCAAAACTCCGTATAATTTCTAGGCATATCTCTGTGAAGCATCAACTGCCCTAGGCTCATGTTACGTGCTCCTCCACTGCCATCTAACTCTCTCCTTCTCACCACTCATATCAGTTCCTGGCCTATGTCCCAGCCTTGTATTGTCGCTTTTCAATGGCAAATGTTTCTTTTTTTTTCTATCTAGGCTGGGTATAATAAATAAGCAAATGGATAAATGTGTTGGTTTGTATAGTGCCCATCATGTGGTTTGCACCAAACAGCAGCAGTATTAGTTCATTGCTGCATTATAGATTAAGAGAAACTTAAAGAATTACTTGACTGAATAACAAGATTAACATGTAAGAGGATGAAGGAGCAGGAGGTATGTTTCAGTATGATCCAAAGCAAATTTGAAGAAAAGAGTCTTTTTCTAGCCAGTGATATCTAAACCACTAGAAAATAATTTTGGTGAGAACTGTCTCTTTGGAGTAATTTGAAACTAACACTGGAGAGAGAACCCCCTGGGATATTTCCCTATGCAGACCTCATGGTAATGACCTGGGTGGCAGGGCTGTGCAAGAGCATTACTATGATTTTCTTTCTTAAATCTAGGGTTTTTTATTATTATTGAAACTATCTGCCTCAAGTGCTAAAAGAATGTGGAACTTGGTTTCTGTTGCCTCTTGGGAACTTAAGAAAAGAGAAGGTAGTTGAATGTGGTAGTGCTCGGGTAGTTGGCAATCATGCTTGTAAGACCGGCCACCTGTCTTCATTTCTCTTGTGATTTTTCTCACCTTGTTCAGAGGAAACCAGCACACAAGAACCACGGCAGCCTGCTGGTATCCAGAAACCACCACCCTTGGTGAGTAGTAGTAGTTCTCTTTTTCTCTGGATTGGGAGATAGAATAATCTGTGGGCCAAGAGCTGAAAATGGACCCCTTGGCATCATGTAAGGTGGCAAAACTTCATTAGGATTTTTTGAAAGGTGTATATCTTGGTTGCATTTTCATGTGATAGCCCGTTCTGACAGGTTGCTTGAGCTCTTTATGCTGTCATTAAGATGGCTGATGCCACCTTTTCTAATTTAAGATATAATGTCAACAAAGTATGTGATTTAAAATGTTAAAACTATGTTGGAAAGCTAATGAAATCTGTTACAAAAAACTAATAATTTCACTGTTTTTCACAATTACCATGATACAGCCATGTATCAGGAAAAAAGTTATTTCCCCTCTCCTGAGCTATATATGACACTTTAGCTGAACCACATAGGCAATTAAAGTGTATTGGACAATTCTGGATACTCTTTGACCTTTCCAATAAGCTTTCAAATAAGAAGGAAATAGCTTTTCAGGTGCACCTTCAGTGTAACAGTCAATAATATAACTGATATCCAGATTTCATCCAGTCTATTCACTAATGGCACAATAGGGCAACACTTTGACAGTTCTTCTTTGCAACGCTGCCTAGAATTCATGGGAACGCTCAAGATTGTATTTTCGGTTGACCTCAAAAGTCAGGGTAATAATAAATCAATGAGAAGGGCTTTAGTCTGCACGCTTTGGCTTGTTCTTTCTGAAATGCAGGTTGACCTGAAGAACTTCAGGAGAGGGCTTCAATTACTTTTTGTTTCAATTTTCCCCCTCCCCTCTCTCCAGGCAAATCACAGTGGACCAAGTCACCCAACGGTACCCAAAGTGGTAGAGTTGCTGATGTGTCAGCCAGAGTCAATGATGCCCAACACAGCTCTGCTTGTGAAGAATCCGCTGGCATCCACTCACATCTTCAAACAAGCCTGTCGCATCTGCTATCCCAAAACAGGTTATTTGCTTGTGGTGACTTGGACTAGTTGCTATTGGAAAAATTGGGCTCTTGTTAATCTTGTCTCCCATTTTGTAGGACCCAAGGCTGGCGATTATACCTATCGAGAAGGTCTGGAACACAAGTGCAAGCGGGATATACTGCTGGGCCGGCGCTGCAACTCGGAAGATAAAACCTGGAAGAGAATCCGACCACGGCCAACCAAGACAAACTTTGTGGGATCTTATTATCTGTGCAAAGGTGAATTGATGGGAAAGGGTGCATGGGGGGGGGGGGGGAAACGGGACTGCTTCCTACAGAAGGAGGGTTCTGTGAAATATGGCGTGGGGGGAGAGAGGCTGCTTTCTGTAGCAATGACCTGTTTCCTACTGACCTACCCTCTCTCCTTCATGAATGTGTACAGACTTTAATTATTATAGGGATTTATACCTTTGCCTTCAATTGATTCCCCAGCATGGTGGTTTACAACATTTTCAAAGTTCAGTAATAAAACAAGATAAAATATATTCAAAAGCACACCCAAAGCAGCAAGATTTAAAAGGGCAGCATAAAAACACAATTGTCATCAGCCAAGAAAAAATGATTAAATTATCATTCTAAGAAAATCAAATTGTCTGACTTACGCCAAAATGGGCAGGTGTCAGGCAGGTCTCCTTGGGGAGATTAAGTTAATCATTAGTAAAGATGACAGGGGCTTGAGTTATTATGATGACTAATTGCAACCTTGTCCAACACTCTCCAGGTGTTGTTGTTCTACTGCAACTCCCATGAGCCACAGCCAGTATGGCCAATGGTCCAGGGTGATGTGAGTTGTAGTCCCAACAGCATCCCGAGGGTACCAGGTTGGGGAAGGCTGGGCTACCCCAAGATGTGACATTTTGAACTCATTGGTTTATTTTTAACTGTTTGTGATCTTGGGGCTGGGTGGGAGGGGAGAGAAGGAAACAGAAGAAGGGGTAGCAAGAGAGCTTGGTTCTGATTCCAGCCTCCATTCCTTGTGTGGTGGTGTGATGTCTGTTGCTTTGTAGATATGCTTAACAAGCAGGACTGTAAGTACGGGGATAACTGCACCTTCGCGTACCACCAGGAGGAGATCGACGTGTGGACAGAGGAGCGGAAGGGGACTCTTAATCGTGACCTCCTCTTTGACCCGCTGGGCGGAGTCAAGCGGGGCAGTCTGACCATTGCCAGGATATTGAAGGAACACCAGGGCATATTCACCTTTCTCTGCGAGGTATGGAGTAGAAGGCAGGCAAGATGTCCTTCCACTGCATCATTCTCCTTGTCTAGTTACATAACTGGGCCATTGAGCCTTTCACCCAGAATACTGCCCAGTGCTGACATTTATCAGTTTTGGTTTTGCATAAAAACACCAAAATTCTGCTTACCCTTTCTCTCTCACACTCCATTCTGGGTTGCAGCTCTGCTTTAAAATGAAGGAAAATGGCACCTCTCTGGAATTTCCTGTCTAGTGCTATGTGGCTAGCCTTGAGCTGGCCTCCAGAAACCCCCAGTACTGCTGAGAAACATGAATTGGAAACATCACTGTGTGGTTGTGGCTTGATTACAATAAGCATCCTGTTCTCTCGCAAAGTAACTTAGCAGAAAGCAACTGTGTTCTAGTCAATGGAGCGTTAGGCTGGGTCCTGGAAGATCGGGACTCATTGAGTGGGCAAGTTGCAACCTCCTAGCCTTAATTTCTCATCTATAATAATAATTACCTATAATCACAAGTTGCCAGGAGCATGATAAAGGAACACAAGAAGCTGTCTTGCACTGAATCAGACCATTGGACCATCTTGCCCAGTAATGTCAACACTGACTGTCAGGGGCTCTCCAGGGTTCCATTTGGGAACCATTCAGATTTCAGCCCTTGTTAGGCAAATATTACAGTGCATTAGAAGTGCATTAGAAATGATTGTTTAAAGCAGTTTCTAGGGACTTAAGAGTCTGAAACCCTTTTCTAATGGTGTGCTTGCAGATCTGCTTTGATAGCAAACCCCGGATAATCAGCAAAGGGACCAAGGACTCGCCAGCAGTGTGCTCCAACCTAGCTGCGAAACATAGCTTTTATGATAACAAGTAAGTGGGCTGGGCTTCGTCATAGGAAGTTGCCTTGTACTAAGTCAAACCTTTAACTAGCTCAGTATTGACTCTACACAGACTGCTCTCCAGGGTTTCACACTAGAGTGTCTCTACCTGGAGATGCTGGGGATGCAAAGCAGTTGCTCAACAGTGAGCTGTGGCTGATGGTCTCACCAGTAATGCCCTACCCCCACCCTGTTTGATTCTGGGAATACTCCTGGCCTATCCTATATTATTATGATAAGGATCATTAAATCCATATTCATGCATTACCTTTAGCAGCATGGAAACAGTTGACATGTGGTTGTGCTCATGCTGCTACAGTCATCTAGCAGATCATTTAAAGCAGCATTCCTCACTGTGATGCCATCCTGTTAACCACCACACATAAGCACCTCAGTTGTGGAACCAACCTTTTCCTATTGTTGGTTCGGATGATTAAGTATTTGCCGTGCTTCTTGAGTAATGCATAAATCAGGCCCAAGATATAATATTTTATTGTCTGTCTAGCCCAGTCAATACATTACTCATGAAGCATTGCAGATACACAATTGCCAAAGCCCACATCCAGTAAGTGTGTGTTCTGAAACTGAGGTACGTACCCATGGTGGTATAAACTTAGCACAATTAGCTCCCAAAGTGGCTTATAATGACAATCCACAAAAGGTGCAAATAATTAGGGACTGGTGGGCATGTTTTATGGCAGTCTCTTGACAGGCTAACATTGTAGTCCAGATTTGAGGTTCTTCTCTGTAGAATCAGGGGGCAGAAGGCGCTGCAAATGGATGGGCTGGCTCAGGCTGAGCAGTATTTTTCTATATCACTGCTGTTTTAAAACAAATATCTTTATGAATAAACATTCCTCTCCTCGATGCAGGTGTCTAGTTCACATTGTTCGTTCCACCTCACTAAAATACTCCAAGATCCGCCAGTTCCAGGAGCACTTTCAGTTTGATGTGTGCCGGCATGAGGTGCGTTACGGCTGCCTGCGTGAAGACAGCTGCCATTTTGCTCACAGCTTCATAGAGCTCAAAGTTTGGCTGCTACAGCAGTACTCCGGTAAGTGTACCACTTGGCTCATCCTGGAGAGGATGGATGGAGAGGGAGATCTGCAGTATTTATGGTTCCTGAGATGCCTTTCTAGGGACCATAGGATTGTACCTTTAGTGTATTAAAATCTTACATACATGAATTATAAGAGCCGAGGGAATGATTTGTGGTGTTAGGTTTTAATATTCTACACTTTGCAGAAAAGAAAAGCTCTAGAGTGGATCAGTGGATGTAACTGCCAACTTGGCAAGAGTGGCTGGAAATTGGAGGCAGCATGTCTGAATCAAGAGCTCTTAAATTTTATGCACTTTTGTTGCTATATTTCTGCTGCACTTGTAGTGTTTTATATATATGAAGGGTGGGGCGTGTGTATGTGTGTGTACACCCACCCACCCACACACCACCCTTCATCAGAGATCTCAGGGTGGTTCACAATGAAATTACTTGAATCTCCAAGCCTGTTGGTCCATTGCCTTTTTGAAACACTACAAGTAAAACCACTGTTTTAAAAAATCTGAAAAGATTCTGGAAGTTGGAAGCGCTTAATAGAAGACTTTATTATAATTCCAGGGATGACCCATGAAGATATTGTACAGGAATCCAAGAAGTACTGGCAACAGATGGAGGCACATGCCAGCAAGACTAACAGCAATATGGTAAGGAACTTGAAAGATCCAATGCCAATGGCTGTGTTTTATGAAAACACACATTCATTGATCAAAGGTAGACAGCATTAGGAACTTCCAGTTCCAGGAGGTGTACTTTACTTCTGTACTTGTGTACATAAAATGTACACTAGCATTCCCTAATTTTTCCACCCACACAGAAATTCCTGGAGAACATTGTGCATAGATAAACTCTGGCATTCACTAGCCTAAGATATGGTGGTGGTCACCAACTTGACTCTAAAGGGAAACAGACAGATTTGTGTTAGATATGGCTAACAGTTGCTTCTAGTCTTGATGACTATGTTGCCTTCAGTATCGGTTGCTGAGGATAGGGCTGTTGTCCTCATGTCTTTTTGTGGGCTTCCCAGAGGCATATGATTGGCTACCATGAAGAACAGGATGCTTGACCTACCAGAACTCTCTCTGTATTCTTTTGTGTGCCTTTGAGAGAATAAGAAGCGACTCTCTCTGTATAGTGGCCCCCCAGGATAGGGGTGGGATTGGCTGCTACTCCAGTATATTCGTATTATTAAATGGTGTATGTATTCCTTCCCCTTCCTTGCTTTTAACTTCTCTCTTTCTCTCTCATTTGGAATATCATAGGGGTTAAAACATGTTAAGGAGCTTCTTAAATGGAAATACTTGTTTATGCGAAAATAGCTCAAGGGTTGTTCTGTGTGTAAGACCACATTCCTAAACACATTTAGTGGCCAACAAGAGCCATTAGGCACAGTGGCACTAACTTCTCAGCAAGGATGAATTGGTATATATTACCCATGTCCAAAATAGGATCTAGAATGGAGCAGTTGGGCCTTGAGGCAGCTTTCAAGGAAGGGAGGAGGATGTTTATGGGCTGTATGGGCGAGTGGCTCTTCATACTGCAGTGCAGCCCGTGGGGGGTGGGCTTATTTTGGGTGGAGATCACGAGGTTTGCTGCAACTATTACTCTGACTTCTCTCCTTCCCACTCGGTTCCTTCAGCTGATCATGCCTGCCGGCATCTAGCATGACGCTGTTAGAGGCAGCACTATCTCATTTGTTCTTTGTGGTTGTTAAAAGTAACAGAAAGAAATTATGCCACACACACCCCGGGACAAAATCAAAGCCCAGAAGCAATAGACCTTAGAAAAAATATAGTAATGAGTAGCTAAGAGCACTCTTTTGAACCATGAAGAACGGGGATCAGATTTGATTATTGGAAGATTATGGCTGGTGGGAGGGCTGTTGATCTGTAGGCTGAGGTTCAAAAGCCAAGTGGCAGCTTTTTTTTTTTTTAGTTTTTATAATTTTCTTTTATATAAATTACAACAATTATTCAATCATAATTTTAACATTTAAAACTCCGACTCCCGTCCTCCTCTTTCTATGGTTCTTTACATTTCTTTTCATCTTCCTGCATACTCCAAATTATCTCAACATATTCTTTTATATATCTATTCCCATATATATCCCCCATATATAGAGAGAGAGAGACTACAGGTTTTTACATTAATCCTGCCAATGTCTTAATCTGTTTACAGTTTGTTTGTAAATACCCAGTAAACCATTTCCATTCCTTTCTTTTAAAAATTGTTAAATTGCTATCTTGATTTCTTATTCTCTCAGTACGTTTTGCCATTTCTGCCTAGTCCCATTAACTTCTATATCCATTCTTCTTTCGTTGGGACCTCTTCTTCCTTCCATTTTTGGGCAAATAACATTCTTGCAGCTGTGGTTGCATACATAAATAAATTTCTATACTGTTTAGGTAGTTCTGATCCCATAATTCCCAAAAGAAAAGCTTCTGGTTTCCAAGTGGCAGCTTTTAAAGTACTACTGTGCGATAATAACCTGCTACCCTCCTCCTGGGTTTCATTTTGGAGTCCTGGAGAAGTGCCTAGCTGATGAGTAACAAAAGGAGCCCAGCCCTGGCATTGGATTAAAACAGCTCTTGAACTAGAACACTAAGTTCTTTGACCTTTAATGACTTTCAGAAGGTGTGGTTAGTCAGAAGAGAAAGGGAGGGGAGGGGAGACCCATCATTTAGAAGTTGTTAGATTAAAATGCTAAATAATATTTCCTACCACTTGGTGTCTCTTATTCCTTCTGTCAGTCAGTTTCAGCATAGAAGGACATGTTATGACTTGTCCAGCACATAGAGGATTGTGGCTTCATGCTAGTATAACAATGGGGTCAAATAATCATACTGCGCAGCTACATCATACTTTTCAGAGAAGAGCACGGGTGGAAGGATTGAGGCAGTACAGATGCAAGGGAGGATCAGGCAAGAGCTGGGGAAGAGGGCAGTTGGGGTGTTGTGGTAGCCGATGAAACAAATTAAACTCTGGATGCTCTCCCACCACCATTTACTTCCATGGTGGTTTAAGCTGGTACACATGTAGCCATTAAGGAAATGAATGGTCTGCATTGTCCAGTCTCATGATGTGGGGCTGAGAGTTTTCTTCCCTTTTGCTTTTTTAAACACATCTCTGTTTCTGATTTAGAAAATTGCACGCACACAAAACCATTTTCTTTACGGTGTGCTTCATGCACATCCTGGCAATTATTCATGCATTGGGGAAGAAGCAAGCTTGAGGACCAGAGGGATGGGAAGGAGCTGTCTGGTAGAATGGTGCTGACCAGACCTAGAGCCTTTTTTGGTTTGGGGAAAGGAGGGAGGTGTTGCTGTTTCAGCATTCTACCTATGATTCATACCCTCTGACATGCCATAGAGGAAAATTGGGATGCACATCTTTTGGTGACTCGTGCGAGAGCATGGCTCCCCAAAATGTGGTCTTTTGGGGCTGCGCTCTTGCTGACGGGACATCCCAGGATCCAGTCAGAAGCCGGGATGGCTTCTGTAATTCCGGGATGTCCCTGGGACAGTTGAGGGGTGTGATGATGCCCAAGTATTTCCATGCTGAAGGTGGAGGGGACATGTTCCCAATGAGAGGAGAAAGACCAAGTAGGAGTAGTAAATTATTAAGTGCCATGGTGGAGGAATGCAGCAGAAGCAGAACTGGGACAGTGGAGGCATAGCCTAGTATCAGCTAGAGCAGACAGGGAGGAGCGGCCTTGTCCTCTGACAGCCTATCTCCATGTCGTGGTGGAGGCATTCAGAAAGCATGAGGAACACATGCAGCTTATGAGACCATTTTGGAGGCTGAGCTAAGAGTCCCCCGCCCCCCATGGCTGGGTATACAAGGGAGAAGGTGGCCTTGGGCAGCTCACACCCTACGTCTCTGAGGCTGCAGCCTTCCATACCTGGATCCCTTCATTTCTAATATCTGCGGACATGTAATATTTGGGGGTACATTCAAGCCAAGGATGCTGAAGAAGTCCTGCACTGTTTTTCTAATGAGTCTCGCAATCCCTTTGTGAAATAAAACATTCAATCCATCCTCCGTGATGGGAGTTGGAAGTCCAGTAGCATCTGGAGGGTCCAAATTCCACCATCTCTGAGCCTAGTGGGTGTCCTGAACTAAGTCAAAAATGTTCAGTTAGTAAGAAATGCTGCTGTGAAAAGCACAGCTGATAGCAATGAAGATTTTTTAAAAATGTTTGTGTGGGCATGTTCAGAACATGCTTGTTGCTGATAGCCTGCTAATTAAACAGGGTCCTGCATGACACTGATGTATAGCATGCTTGCAGCTTTTTAAATGGAAGGGGATTTCAAATATAACTAACCAATCCCAGATGGGTTCATTGTGGTTTTGTCCAAGCCGAGGAAACCATCCTACCAGCTTTTAGCTAATTCTCAAAGAAAGTAGTAACAGTTCACTGGTGCAGAGGGCTAAGCAACCAACAGTGGAAAGTTTGTTTTTGCCTTTCTTTTTCTCCAGTCTAAGCAGGTTAATTTGGCATAATGCTTATTCAGCTGTGCTTCCAGCTAAATAACTCTTGCATGGAGAGGGAGTGGGGGAACTTCTGTGGGGAGAGGGATGATGCAGAGTCACATTAGGGGGGTGGGTTCTGTCTCCCCAGAATTCCCTTATTTGTGTGCACTCTGCTCTTGTGCTAAGATGACTTTGGTTCAGAAAAACTAAATAACAGGATGACTTGCTCTCTTGCTACTTTCACAGATTGCAAAATCACCTGACATTTTCTAAGCTGTGAAGTTGTCTGGAAACTAATTGCACAATGCCTGAATGCATTCGTTTTTTGATATACCTGGAACAGCCATTCTGTATAGCCAGCTTCACTCTGGTCTGCCGGTAAATAATGCTGGGCTGAGTTGCTTTTTTTGGCAACTAAATATGTGTGAATAATTGGGAACAGCTGGAGAAAAGTTAACAGAGTTAGGGAAAGGTTACGAGAGAATAATACTCTTGCATATCTAAGTGAAATCAGACCCATCCCACATTTCTAGAATTGGCCTTCAACCATTGTTCTATCTAGCTCAGTACTGTTTACACTGACTGGCAGAAACTCTCCAAAGTTTCCTTTGGGGGGCATTCCCAGTCTTCCCTAGAGATGCCAGGGATTGAAACTGGGACTTTCTGCATGCAGAACAGATGTCCTGCTTCTGAGCTACAGATATTTCCCCAAAGCATACTCAGTGACTACTTGGGGTTGGTAGAAGAATGAAAACTAGAGGGAGGGAGAAATGAAATGGAATATCCTGAAAGAAATCATAGCTGGCTGGCTGGAATTCTGAAAGAAGCTCACCCTACTTCAACGTTTTGTTGGTGATCTTATTCGCGTGCGCTACCACTGATCCACTGCTCTCTTTCTCGTTGTGGCATGCCTTCTGCCTTACTTGGAATAACAAATCAAAGCATTGCTGTGCCAAAGCTTTTAATCATGTGGCCGGTATGGTTTAGTTGCCAACTAGATCTTGTAATGTTGGCCCCATAACAATGCAGCTGTTAATCTGAAGCCAGTTGGGCTGAGTTAATTCATGGCATGCTTAGGAACCTCTAATTTCCATGCAACATTGACTAATTTATTAGCAATCTGTCAGGTATGTGTCTTGCTGTTACAAATACAGTCATGCACAGTTGATGCTTTGGCTTCTTCTTTTAGTTCCTTTTACCTTTGCAAAGATGTATTTACCTGGCAAGGATGCATATGCTTCTCAGCTTTGGGCTACTCACCTGAAAAGACCTGTTCAGTTTATGCTTGCCTCATGTTCTTGGAAGCTTCTAATGTTTAGAAGGCATTTTTCAAAGCCTTTGATGAGGGTGTGAAAAGACTGGAGGCAGCGATTATTAGATAGATACCTAAGGGATGAATTCCATCTGCAACAATGACTTATATGGATTTATTTGGTGGGAGGGCCTTGATGGCAGCTTTCCACATGGCTAATTAACACTGTAGAAATAGGTGTCTAGTAGGCTTGGCTAATAGGGATAGCTGTTTTTGTTCCAGGAATTTGCGTTTTGTCATAGTTACTCTTTTTGCACCATACCTCCTGCACTAATCTGGATTAGCCCTGTTTTTCCATTTGTTCTTGCAGTGATCAGCATGGCGATTGGTACAATCTTTACTTATGTGACTTGTGACACCAGTCTGGTGCGTTTATCCAGGGCACCTGAGTCTTTAGAAACTCCCTCCAGAATTACACACATGTAAAACTTTAAACCCTCCTTCTAGGCTTGGTCTAAGGCAGGGTCCATTCTCTGTGGCGATTTCCTTGGCCTCAGTTGGTGTGCTCTGGCTACCTGATTCAGATGGCTATCCTTACCTGAGAATAAAGACTCAGTGGAGCTTGTTTTGAGTTGATGCAGCATAATCCTACACAAAACACTGTGGCTGAACAAATTGCTCGCGATCAGCATTCTTTGCGTTTTGCACTCCTAAAGCAGTTCGCACCCAGAGTGACTCATTCGTCCCAGACCCCTGGTGTGTGTGTGTGTGTGTGTGTGTGTGTGTGTGTGTGTGTGTGTTTTATTTTAATTTAAGTTCCATGAGTTTGTTTATAAAGAAAAGTAGCAAAAAAAATTCTAACATTGCAGTCAAAGGAATGAGGATTGTATGTGAGTATTGTGTTTAATGTTCTTTTTTCCTATAGAGGTGGCAAGAACCATAACAATGTGAACCCTCTTTTCTTCCTCCTCCCCCAACCAACACACATTTTCTACACTAAATTACCACCACCAGTTGCATGAATCTGTGGTCTCCTGTCCTGGGGTAACTATCTCTCCATATATCTCAGCCTCTGACTTCTCCCTCCTGCCACTGTTTCTTTCCAAATTCTAAGTTGGCACAAATTGTCTTTAAATTATTAGCAGCTCTTTTCTCTTCTACTCAAATTGTTAGTCATTCAGAGCTGAAGTATCATGCTTAATATGTTGCTCAGGCAGAGAATTCCATCAAGTAATATTCTCTGCCCCCAATGTTGTAAAAGATGATATAGTTTATATATGCACATTAAACTGCCTAACAGCGTCCATGTCACCCAGGAGACCGCAGCTGCAGAGATAAGAAAAGAAGAGTTGTTCTTTTGTCTGAAGAGGTCCCTTCCTGGTTCACATGGAGAAGCCATTTTCAACAGAGCCCACCAATGGAAGCGCACAGCTGTATTGAGGCAGCACTGGGTGTTGAAATTTTGCACCCGCTAACAATTTTGTGTCCAGGGCAACCGCCACTGCTGGCTCCGCTCCCCCCCCCAAATGCTATGCCATTGCTATGTTTCTCAGGAACACAGGTGGCCTCTTCGGCTTGCCGATCGGAAGGTTGGCGGTTCTAATCCCCGCAACGGGGTAAACTTCTATTGCTCTGTCCCAGCTCCTGCCAACCTAGCAGTTCGAAAGCATGCCAGTACAAGTAGATAAATAGGTACCGCTGCGGCAGGAAGGTAAACAGCGTTTACGTGCACTGTTGTTTCCGTAACAGTGTTCCATTGCACCAGAAGCGGTTTAGTAATGCTAGCCACACAACCCGGAAAGCTGTCTGTGGACAAACACCAGCTCCCTCGGCCTGAAAGTGAGATGAGCGCCACAACCCCATAGTCGCCTTTGACTGGACTTAACCGTCCAGGAGTCCTTATGTTCCTCAGGGTTAATTTGTGTATTTATCTTCATTTTAGACTGGGTGTGTCATGTGCAATGTTTGCAACCCCTGCAGGAAGTGAAGTGAGTCCAAGCCCAGGACTGTAAAGATCATATAGGCCCAATTTATGCCCTTAGAGCCCAGTCTATTGATTAGATACTGTGCTGAACCAGTGGCCAATACTGGCAAAAAAAAACCCCGTTCCTGTAGGAATGCAATTGTAAATTCAACAGCATGGATCATAAAAAGAGGGTTTTTTTACTGTGAGTTTTTTATTGTGCCATTTCATTATCTCTAACACCACATCCCACAATACTAGAAAACAGAAGTAGGTGGCTTATTAGCTTCTTCAATAGCATGAATCAGAGTCTGTGGAGAGAAAGAAAGAGAGAGCGCTTTATCTTTATCTTCAGTCCCTTACATATGATATCCTTTACATTTTCAAATAACGGGATTTTTGTCTGTAAATTAGCAGCAAAGGCTATTTACGTATATATCACTATCCATTCTAATGTAATTTTATCTTACTGTTAGGATCTGTTTTTGCAGTCTTATTTTGTCACTTGCTTTATTCTGCAGTTCTCATAAAAGAACATACGTGTAAAAATGTGTATTGTCTTAGTAAATCTAGCTTGTCGAATTTTGTGGATGCAGCAACTCCCTCCACCAACTTTCTTCCTTCCTCCTTCCCAATATCAGGCTTCTGCGAGGACTCCCACGTCAAGCACTTTCGACCTCCAAATGAAATTTGTTTGTGGCCAGTGTTGGAGGAATGGGCAGGTGGTGGAACCAGACAAGGACCTCAAGTACTGTAGTGCCAAAGCTCGCCACTGGTAGGTGCCCTTACCTATTCTACTGCCTGTAGAATGTTTTCCTACCATAGATTTTGTGGCGTGCTTTTATTTAAACGATTGCTGTGGTTTTCTAGGGTTTTGTTTTTATTCCTTGTAGACTATAAAATGTATTTGTGGTCATTTTTGAACTGAGTCAGTGCCAGGCATACCTACTCTTGTGGAGGAAGCTGTGTGGAGAAAAAACATGGGGAAAGGGGAGATTAAAAATGATGCAGAGTTTATGGGCCAATTACGTATGGGTCTGTATTGTTTTAATACAATGTTTCCCAAAGTTTTGATAATGGGACAGGTGCCCCCCCCATTTTAAAAATGGAGGTATACTGAGGCGTTCCCAAAGTAAAGCAAGGAATGAACTCTGATTAATAAGAATACACACAGAGGCTTGAACCAGCAAGATTCTGGGAAGGGTGCGTATAATAATCTCTCTCCCTCTACCCCACGACCCAGGTTGTTTTATTCACAAAATAACTTTTTACAAAGTGATCGTAAGAACCAATCAGACTTCTTCTGAGCATTTCAATAAACCCCACGTTGGGAAAATTTAAACTACCAAAACTAATTAAGCACACATATTACGATCATTATCACCTTCAGGTGAGATCTGCTTCCTGGCCCTAAGATTAACATCCTAAGTTTAACATATCAGAAAAGCTACATCAAAAGAAGCTGCCCACTATCTTTGATGACCCAGGATGCCTGCCTGCAGTACGTGACTTGTCAAGAAAGAGAAATGGAACAGGGATGCAGAGGTGTGGATTGATCTGGAATCATATCACAATAGTTTAAACCCAGCCAACGCAATGCTTTCATTGCTGACACAGATGGCTTACTCTATATTTATAATTCCTCATAGCAATCCCACCTGATCACTACAGTATACTTCAGCTTTGCACTAAAAAAGATTACTATAAATGCTTGATTAACTTGTAAAGCAATGGGCAGGGAGTTTGAAGCCAGCCCATTTTGATTCTGCTTCCCAACGTCTTACCCTTTCCTTTGCCTAGGAAGCATGGTTGCTTCCCTAAGTAGGCAATGTGTCAGGGATTCCCCCATGCCTGACAGCTCTAGCACAGGTTGCATCTGGGGAATCTTTGTGCATTATTAGTCTTTCCTTCAGGGTTATGTCAATGATCATATTCTGGCAAAAAGGAGGAAACGGGTGCTGTCTGCTGCCTCCCCACTCGGAAGGTATGCACAGTGCCTGCACACACTCCTTCAATAAGCCTTCTAAAATCTTTATCCTAGTTGGTGCCTGTCCTGGACCTGAATGGATTGTGTGTATTTGTTGTTGTTTTCAACTGCTTTTATATTTATAGTGGTTGTTTTTCAAAATTGTTTACATACACAATTGCTTTTTAAATTGTTTTTATATACAGTCGTACGTTGGAAGTTGAATGGAATCCGTTCCAGAAGTCTGTTCGACTTCCAAAACGTTCAGAAACCAAAACGTGGCTTCTGATTGGCTGGAGGAAGCTCCTGCAACCAGTCGGAAGCTCCATTGGTTGTTCAGTTTCCAAAAACAGTATGCAAACCGGAACAGTTACTTCCAGGTTTGCAGTGTTTGGGAGCCAAAACATTCGAGAACTAAGCTGTTCAAAAACCAAGGTATGACTGTAGCCAAGTTTTATATTTGTCGTTATAGTGTAAATCATTTTGAGATGCCTCTTGAGGAGTAGCAAGAGTAAACAAATAAGGATATAGTGAGATAGATGCCACCAATGGTTATTTAGATATTAGATTTATATCCCATCTTTCCTCTGTGGTGGTTAAGAGATAGTCTCCCTTCCATTCAGGCATTGCTACTCTGCTTTAGGAAGGTGCCTTCACACACTGCCACAGACTTGGACATAGTAGCTGCTTAAGTTTTCAAGGCCTAATTCTCTCTCTCTCTCATGGCACACTAGTGTGCCCTGACAAGCAGTTCTGAAAACTCTTCCTTAGTCTATAAATCATACAATCTATGTGATAAAGGGCCAGATGATCTGCCTCGTAAGGCTTTTCTTATCTGCTACTGCTTCACACAGTTTATTTTGGCGATTAGTTGTTGTGTGTTGTCCTCCCCACCCTGCCCACGTGGTTCGTGGCACAGAGCTTTCCTTCTTTCTAGCAGGGAATTCTGGATTCATTAGCTCAGTCTGTACACCAGTTGTCATGAAAACCAGACTCTGCTCATAATGGAACATTTTCTGAGCATCTTTTTTTGTTCCCCCTCCCCTGGTAGTTGGACCAAGGAGCGCCGTGTCCTGCTTGTGATGTCCAAAGCAAAGAAGAAGTGGGTGTCTGTCCGACCATTGCCTTCCATCCGCAACTTCCCTCAGCAATACGATGTGAGTAGCACTGTTGTTTTGCAGATGGCGCTTAACATAAGAACATCATCGGAGCCTGCAGGATCAGGCACAACTAGTCCAGCACTCTGTTCTTACAGTGGCCGGTCAGTTGCCTATTGGAAGCCACAAGCAGAACTTGAGCATAATAGCATTTTCTCCACTTGTGTTTCCCAGGAACTGGTATACATAGGCAAACTGCTTCTGGCAGCAATGGTAGACCATCACCATCCTGCTTATTAGCTGTTGATTACCTTATCCTCCATGAACTTATCTCTTTTGAAGCCAGCCAAGCTTATGGCCACCACTGCTTTTTGTAGGCGTGAATTCCCTAGTTTATTATTATTATTATTATTATTATTATTATTATTTCTCAGCTCAGGGCAGTTCACAGAATAAAATAAAGGATAAAAACAAGAAAACAATTTAAACAAAAGAGGAAGGTTTTCAGCTGGTGCCTAAAAATATATAATGTAAGTGCCAGGCAAACTAAGTGCTGTGCGAAGAAATGTCCTTTCTTAGCTGCCCAGAAACTTGGATGTCTCTTAAGTTTTAGTATTATGAGAGAGGGAGAAAACTTTTCTCTATCCACTTTCTCACTGTTTATCATTCTTTATATCTGCCATGTATCTTACGTGCCTTTTCTCTAAGAAGCCCCAAATGTCGCGTGACCTTTTCTTATAGGTGAGTTGCCTTCTCTTTCCATTCACACTTGAGCTCTGTGTGGAGTGAGAAGGGAGCCAGAATACAGAAGCCGAAGGAGGAAGAGCTCTTTAGACAGGGGAATAGCAGAGTTATTGTTAGACAAAAAACAGGTGCTGGTTGAAGGCCAAGATTAGTCAGTGGTGCAGTAATGAAAGAATATTTTGACACCCGTTGAAATCACCCATGCAAATTTGGTGGTTTTAATTAAAATCATTGTTCCATGAAAGACTGGTTGGCCCTGGAATCAGGTATAGCATTTCGCCTTGGGTTACCCTCCTCTAATTCAGAGTGCTGTGTGTGTGAAAAGAAGCTGGTGATATTCCTCAGTTTGTTTACTGCCAGAGAAGGTGTGGCACTAGCTCCTGGGCTTGAAAATGAAGTGACTTCAAGTCAATTCAAGGATTTGGAAAGCACTGCTCATTCAAAAAAGAAGAAAACTATCAAGAGGAGCTCTTAATGTTAAGCCCAGTTGTGGGTGAACATGTTGCAAAACTTTTTTGTATCCCTTTTTCCTAAGGGAAGGGAAGACTCAAAACGACCAACAATATTTGGTAAATAATGAGCAAGCAATACATGCATGTGCGTATATTTGTTGGCTTTTTGCAGTATGGTAGCGCTGCAGAGAGCTTGCTGGGGAGACCATGCATTAAAAAGGGACTCAAAAATAATTTAAACAAGGTTTTAATAAGAAAAACAAAAACTCCTTTTACACTAAATACATTAACAAACAAACATGACCCAACCACCAACCCATCCCCAGGGTAATGGGAGAGCTAGGTGCTGCTCCTTATATACTACACCCAATTGCCAACACAGCTTAATCAATACAACTCAGCAGCACCTGCTATGTTTCACAGCTGTAAAGCTGGGTCTCGTTATCTTGCTCTGGCCCTTGCTCTGGCCCCTTAAAGACATACACATCGGGTGGAACAGTGATGAACCTTTACATTTAAAGAAACCATTCAACATTCCCCTGCGGTTCATCATTGTGGAACAAAAACATAAAGCATACTTTGTACATGTTTTTCATGTATACCTTTTGGAAGTGCTTTAGTAAAAATGTCTGCAATTTGATTGTCACCTGGAACATATTTAAATACAACCATTTCATCAGCAATTAGTTTCTTTACAAACTGTAAACGTAATCTTAAGACTTTAGTGCGCTGCGTATTGGTTTCTGAACATAGGATAGCGAGTCCACTCTGGGAATCAAGGTAAACTTTTACTGGTAGTGTTACTTGCATCTGTAGGTCTGCGAATACTTGCAGATACCATTCTACATCACGAGTGGCCTGAACGCATGCACATAATTCACTCTCTGTTGTGGAGAGACAAATAATGTTTTGTGTCTGGGACTTCCATTCAAATGGACAACCATTATAACAAAACACCATACCAGACACACCCCTGCAGTTATTTTGTTCCACTGCATGAGATGCATCACAGAAAATTTCAAAACCTTTGTCAATACATGTTGTAAACTGCAACCTATAATGTTTGGTATGTTTAAGGTACATTACCACTCTCTTAAGAGCAGAGAAACATTGTGTAGTGGGCTTTTCCACAAATTTTGCCAGAAAGTGAAAGGCATAAGTTATATCTGGTCTTGAGATTCTTTGAATGAAATTTAGCTTGCCTATAGCAGAACGATACAAAGTTTTGTTAGGAAATGGCTTATCTTCACCTGTAAAAGTGAAACCACACACCATGGGCGTTTCCTTCCCATTTGCTTTTTCTAAACGTAGCATTTCAACAAGTTCATCAATTTTTGCAGTTTGATGAACCAGAAAAGATCCATTTTTGCCTTTCTCAATTTGCATGGATAAGTAATTTTTAGCTATGCCTAATTCCACCACATCAAATTTCTTCTGTAACTGTGTTACTACCTGTTCATATTCCTGTTTAGTTTTTGTAGAAATTAACACGTCATCTACATACACACATATTTTTGCTACAGAGTTTGCCCTTTCCTTTATAAACACACAATTGTCTGCCTTTCCCTGTGAAAAACCAATATCCAGCAATTCTTTTGCTAAAGTTTGGTGCCAGTTCCTTCCACTTTGGTGCAGACCATAAAGGGATTTATTTAATTTGCATACCAAACCTTCAGCGGCGTCTATGCCTTCAGGGACACGCATAAAAATTTGTTCTTTTAAATCTGCAAACAAATATGCAGTTTTTATATCTAGGTGATAAACAGAATGTCCACGTTGTGATGCATCTTTTAACAAAAGCTTAACTGTTTCATATTTTACACTTGGTGAATAACACAAATCATAATCTTCACCTGGAATTTGTTGAAAACCCTAGCAACTAATCTAGCCTTGTACCTTACAACTTCATTTTTGTCATTCATTTTAACTCTATAAACCCATTTTGAATCAATAAGTCTCATATCTGGGGTTTGTGGTACAAGAGACCAAGTGTTATGCTCTTTTAAAGAAGCTATTTCAGAGTTCATAGCTTTATACCAATTTACAGCTTGGTGCTTAGGTAAATTCTGAACATCATTGTAGCTTTTTGGCTCAAAAACTGCCTTATTGGCATACACAGTATTAAAATGTTCATCTGCAAAACGTTGTGGCTTCTGTCTCTTTCTATCTGAACGTCTCAGTCCGGAAGGAGAGTCAGACTCCTCAGACTTAATGGGACTATGTAAACTACTAGTTTCAGGTTGTAAATCATCATTGTCAGACTGAAGAGATGCCTGTTGGCTAAGCTCACGGTCAGAAAACTCAAGAGAATCTAACCTCCCTCGGGTGCCTGTGACTTTAAATCATCAAAGAAATTATCAGATTCAACAGGCTTTTTGTCTTCTTCCATTAATTCAGAAGCACCATTTCCTGCTGCTGCTGCTGCTTCTTCTACCTCTTCTTCCTCAGTATTATCTATACCATTACTATCTTGGAAAACAGCAACACCATTCCAATTTACAGTTTGTATCATGCTTCTGGTAATATGAAATTTGCCAGTTGCTGGTATGTAAATTCTGTACGCCCCTGCTGGTAGCCCATTAATTTTCCCTGGACACTACGTTCACCCAATTTCTGCTTAGCGGGATAATGCATTATTACATCTGAACCCCAAATGCGTAGGTATTTCAGATTAGGGCGTTTTTAAACAGCTTCTCATAGGGGTGACATCTAAACCAGAATGATAACTGCGATTTCTAACATAACAAAAGGCATTGAGCGCTTCAGCCCAAAAGTCTTTGGGCAGATTAGCATCATGCAGATAAGTTTTAACCCCTGCCTGCAGGTCACGCTGCACAACTTCAACAAGCCCATTTTGCCAGGGACTTCGGGGCAAGATAACTCATGAGTAGTCCCCTGCGCTTCCAGGAATTTCTCAAAATCCTCAGAAACAAATTCCCGCCCGGTCAGAAAAAGGTTCTTAATAGGTTTGTTAAAATGTGTTTTTACCCAGTTGCAAAAACTTTGTACTTCTCAAATGCTTGGGACTTCTCAGCTATTGCATAAGTCCAACAATATCTACTATACTGGTCTATCAGGGTAAGCCAGTACTTAGAACCTCCTAAGGATGGTGGGAGTGGCCCAACTAAATCACAATGTACACGCTCAAATGGCTCAGTTACTTTCCTATCTGAGCACCTACCCTTGCGTGCAACCTTAATCTTATTCTTGCAACAGGATAGACATTGCATAAAGAATTTACATGGTTTTAAGTTGAGGCCATTAACAATATTCTTGGTCTTAATTACATCAGCAAAATTCAGATGTCCCAGAATTCTGTGCGCCTCATGGACACACCCAGAATGTGGCCTTACATTCCTCAACCCCTGGCTTGACTGTGCTGCTCTGCAATTTATAGGCGATTGGGAGTAGGTGCGAAAATACAGTCTATATAAACCATCAGATTCCCGGGCATACAATAGACGTTTGTTCCCCTCGAAAAACTCACACATTGACTTTAAGAAACGCACAGTTATGCCTTGACGAGCAAAACACCTTACTGACAATAAATTGTCCACTGATGGGCAGTAAATGCAGTTCGCTATAGTAATGTTTAAAGAGTCAAGTTTAACAGTACCCCTGCCAAGCGACTGCAAGACTTGTGAATTGGCTAAATGTACATTACCAATTTCCTCTTCAAAGAAATAAACAAGCTTCGATCGTTGCAAACGTGCTGAGATGCTCCTGAGTCCACAATAAAAGAATTCCACTTGGCACCTTTAATTCTTTTACGATCTCTTGTGCTAGCGTGAAAAGCTCGCGGCTCGTTTCTGTCTTTACGGTACGATGCCGGCTGCTGAGCTGACGACCGTGACTGACGAACAGAAACAGACTTGGGAGTACTTTGCTTTCTTTTGGATCTGCAGTCCTTTGCAAAATGTCCTTGCTTATTGCAGAACCAACAACGCTTTGCAGCTTTAAATGCAGTTGTATCACCACAAGTTTGCATATGGCGTTCCTCATTCTTTCTGGAAATAGGAGTGCTTATGGCACAAGCCTCCCTTCTGTCCAACTCGCCCATTAATCTTGCCGTTACCCCTTCCACAGTTAATTGTGCTGGTGGAACGGCAGATATCTGGCTAGCTATACCATCAAAGTCCTCATTAAGGGAACAAAGGATGATGAAAACATACTGAATATCAGGTATCTCCATGTCCCTTCGAATTAATTCGCCGCGTATTGCCTCCAGACGTCTCAAGTGTGCTGCCAAATCACCACCAGGCTGCAACTTCGTCTGGTACAACTGCTTGAAAACGTCAATGCAGACGCTGACTCTTTTCTAATATGCACTGCTGCAAGACTGTCCCACATTTCTTTGGCAGTTTTCTTATTCCTTATATAGACTACTTGCTGGTCGCTGACTGCCAAATTAATTATCGCCCTGGCTTTAGCGTCTCCTTTCGACCAAGCATTAGTCACAGGGTTAGGAGGGTCATCAGTTACATAGGTCCATACTTCTCTAGAGGTCAAAAGCGCCTCCACCCGAAAAGACCATAAACTATAGTTCTCATCTGTTAGCTGTGGGAAGACCAGAGCCTTCTCAGCTTCTGGAACCCGGTCAACCATTCTGGAACTCTCCCAGACCCACAAAACTACGCCAACAGGAGAAGGAGTTTTCAAACCTTTCTCAGAGTCCAAAAATATGCAGTCATCCACTCAGCAGCTGGGCCCATAACCAAAGATGTTGACTTTTTGCAGTATGGTAGCGCTGCAGAGAGCTTGCTGGGGAGACCATGCATTAAAAAGGGACTCAAAAATAATTTAAACAAGGTTTTAATAAGAAAAACAAAAACTCCTTTTACACTAAATACATTAACAAACAAACATGACCCAACCACCAACCCATCCCCCAGGGGTAATGGGAGAGCTAGGTGCTGCTCCTTATATACTACACCCAATTGCCAACACAGCTTAATCAATACAACTCAGCAGCACCTGCTATGTTTCACAGCTGTAAAGCTGGGTCTCGTTATCTTGCTCTGGCCCTTTCTCTGGCCCCTTAAAGACATACACATCGAGTGGAACAGTGATGAACCTTTACATTTAAAGAAACCATTCAACAATATTCACACATGAATGTTCAGATTCTAGGCTTTTCATGTGCCCCTAGAGTCAAATGCCTCCTTGCTTTATAAGAGTTTTCTATAAAAATAATCCAATCCCTTTTTTAAAAGACTTGTATTCTGTTGTGAAAGGAAATAACTGTGCTTCAAAAATGGTTGCTACAAGGAAGTGAATAATTTTACTGCTGTACTTCTGTTGATTGCTAAGTGCATGGATGGGGAACCATTGGCCCACCAGTCATCATTGGAATCCAACTCCCGGCCAGTGGACTCCAACTCTTGGCCAGTGGTCAGGGGATGATGGGATTTGTAGTCCAGCAACATCTGTAGACCACAAGTTCCCCACCCCTGGCTAAGGGAATAGTTTTTGTTTGCTTTGTTGGAATTGTTCATTAAATCTGTTTCTAATCCGAGTGTCTGTTGTCTATTTCCTTTGAGCACAAAGCCAACATCTTCTGTTTCCATGAGTGAGTAAGGATGCGGAAGAGACGTTAAAAACAATTGCTTTGGAAATCATTCTCCTAGAGCATAGCATGATTTTCACTGTGGGTGAGGAATGGGCAGCTGTGCCGTAGCCTCCTCAGGTTGTGGCCTTTTCAAGAACTGAAGAGGCTTTGTGGTAGAAGCAAGAACTGAAAAGTGAGATATGAGGGAAAGGGAAAACGTTAGCAGTATGTCTTTGGAGGAGAAGCTTTTCTTCAGTTCTCCTCCTATATTTATATTTTAGTGTTTTCTATTCAACTCTGCAATCTAGGAGGTTCTTGGAGAGGTATTCAAGAAATCCAGCCTTGATTTGTCTCCATTTCCAGAAACGGAAAGAGGATGTGGTCCAGAGTAACTTTCTGATATGTTGGTATGGCAGGCAGGTCTCAGACTCTCCCCTCTGTGAGCTTCACTGTGATGCCATGCTCTTGCTTGAAAGCATGCTTGAATGTAGCATATTGAAGGTGTACTATTCTTAATTCCGTGATGCAGCCTTCCATTTCAAAGTAGATCTCTGTGTAGCTCCATGTGCTAGAATGCACCTGCAGTTCTTGGGAGCGCTTGTCCAACACAAGGACAGACATAAGGGCTCTGAGAGAGAAAGTGGACTTAAAGAGTAGTAGGTTTTCCTTTGTACCCTGTGTCAAGGGGAAAGATGGCAGTGTCTGAAGACCTTGCTTAAATGGCAAGTGTGAGACAAGTGGTGTGTGGCCATGGCAGGACTTCCAGGACTTGCAGAAAGCAAGTCTGTGGTACTGATATTCTGGAATAAGAGACAGGTGGAGAGGAGCCCATGACCCCAATCCCTGTGACACAGCAACTAGCAGCTTTTTGAGTGAGGGGAGAAACTATGCCGCCACCACCCTAATCCTGCTATGGATCACACAAGCATTCTGAATTGACTAGTAGTGATCCATAAGAAGAAATCTCTGCAGTCTGTATGGCTTATTGATAACCAGAAACTCAGAAGGCCTTCAGTCCACAAGTGCTGCAGCAATTGCTAGCCTCAGGAGGGCCTGGGAAATCGGCAGAAAGCACTGGAACAATTCCACAGCAGTCTTCGCAGAATAACAGTGGGTTGTTGAATAACCTCCATAAGCCCCCAGTGTATCAGTTGTCATCGTCTTCTTCGTCTTCTTCTTCCTTCTTTTTCTTCTTCTTCTTCTTTGCTTGTCATCTTTCAGGTGTATGTGTGGAGGTGGGTTCTATCACCACAGAATCCTTAATGGCATTCAACATATATACAGTGATAAAAACCAGAATAAACTTGTACCGAAAAAGCAATAATTGAAAATTTATATCCTACAGCTCTCAGGGCTTATCCTCACTTACCTTTTAACCTGCTCTTTCCAGGCACAGGTCTGTACTTAAAAACGGTGTGTCCGAGCATGGGTTTTTGGTTTTGGTTTTGTCACAGTGAATACCTGCTCTTTAGCGCTCAGTTGGAGCAAACATCAATTCAGATTTTCCAGAGATTGCTGTTCGCTCTGAGTGAACTTTAAAGAACAGGTTTTTGTTGCCGGTGTGGGGTGGGGGTCAACTGCCTTAATGCTGGAAGGCTATCACCTGTCAAGCTGGAGAGACAAATTTGTATGTTGTTATCATTGCCTAGTCACAGATTTGCAGATACAGTCTGAAGCAGAATTAATTAATTCGCAAAGCTTGCTTGTCTCCTTTTTGTTTGACTTGGCACCATTCTTGGCTACTTCATCCTTTTTTCTTTTAAGGGTGGAGGGTTTTTTTCTTCTTTTTTAAGGTTTGTGTTTGTGTGTTTTCTATCTCTTTGCAGCTATGCATTCATGCCCAAAATGGCAGGAAGTGTCAGTATGTTGGAAACTGCTCTTTTGCCCACAGCCCTGAAGAGAGAGAGATGTGGACTTTCATGAAAGAAAATAAGAGTGAGTGGAATGTATGTTTGGGAGCAGGGGGGAAACTCTCTTCCATTCTAGTTCCCCGTTCCCCCCTTTTTAGGAAAGCTAGCTTTGAGAGTGATGGACACACTGTGGCTTAGTGAAGATGTAAGTCTGGCTCCCTGAAAAGCATAGTTTGCAAACCAAGGGCTGGTCTTGTGAAACTCGCTCCTTCCTTCCCCTCTCCAGAGCAATTGTCCCTTCCTTCCCTGTGCTAATTGAAGTACTGCATTATGAGGACACCAATGTATAAAATAATTGGGAATCTTGTCTCTTTCCCCAGTTTAGGAAGGTGAGTTTGGAGCTCTGGGGGAGCTCAGACTGAGAGCTTATATAGCAGTGGGAGACTCCATTCCTGCCTGGCTTTCTCTGCCAGGCCCTGTTTTCAGGCACTTACCTGCCTCCTGAACAGCCAGACATGCTGTTAGCCAAGCATGTTCTTGCCTTGCTTCTGTCTCCTCCATTATTAGAGCTCCGGGGGTGATGATTGGTGGAGGGATGGAATCCAAGAATTATCCAGGAATCTAGGCTACTGGTGTTGTGAGCTCTGGTCCTGGGGCCAGGAGTTCTGGATCTGGCAGGGTTGCTGGCAGTGAAATCTGCTCTGCTCCTCTTATGAAGAGGTTCCAGGTCTGAGTAGGGCTAAACCTGGATAGGATTAAAGCCATGGCTTGAAATTGGTTTACAAACCATAGGTCCCTAAAACTACGGTTAATGTCAGGAAGGGGGTGCAGATGACTCCAGAGAGCAGAGGAGGGAGGAGCGCATGCACAAGACTTGACTCCCATTCCACAGATACCCGCAGTTTACAGGAGTCAGCTTTAAATAGGAACCACTAAATAGGAATTTAAATAGGAATTGTATTCCAAAATGTCACACGCATGTATAGCTATCTTCTTCTCTGCCGGCTGAAACTGTGTCCTGCACCTTGTGCTATTTTATTTTTATTTTGTTTATTTATCGCATTTATATCTCACCTTCTGGGCAGCCTTCCAGGGGCCACATTCCAGTAATGAGCAGGGCCAGAGGCAAAAGTGGCTTTTAACTTTGTACAGTAGTCTAGTTTCTACACTCAGACACCTACCCCTCTCTATTCTTCATCTAGACAAGGGAGAGCTATTATCAGAGTCCAGGGACAAATTCCACCCATCAAAAAACACCCAAGGGGGGGTTGAAGCTGGGTTGGTGGGGAGGTAGCCTAGGGGTGTGGGGTGGAGAGAGTCCCAGGGCCCAGATAGAGAACCTTGGAAGTTCACATTTAGCCCCCATGCCTGAAGTTCCTAACACCTGCCTTAAAGAAAAAAGTATTTTTGTAAGTCCTTTCAGGTGTGGTGGGGCTTTGGCTCAGTGGCAGAGCACGTCTTTTGCATGTGGCAGGTCCCAGGTTCAAATCCAGGCATCTCTAGGTAGGGCTTCTAGAGAGACCCCTGTCTGAAATGCTGAAGAGCTGAGCTACAAGAATGCTAAGATAATATCAAACTAGATGAGTTCTTGCTCTGATTTTGGTATAAAGCAGCTTGTAAAGCTTTCCTCTTGGAGATATTGTGCTTGGTATGACGGAAAGGAGGCTCATCAAACTGATATTTCATTGCAGTTTTGGATATGCAGCAGACCTATGACATGTGGCTGAAAAAACACAATCCTGGGAAGCCGGGTGAGGGGACACCTCTGACATCACGGGAAGGGGAGAAGCAGATCCAGATGCCCACTGATTATGCTGACATGGTAACATCTTTCTCTTGCGCAATCTGTCACTTGCCATCCATAAGCTGGTTGATGGCCCATTGGGTGGAATGTTGCTGCTCCTGAAGATTTTGCTGTTTTTATGCTGGGGTTGTTGGAATGATTTTTATTGAGAGGTATTGTTTTGTACGTTATGCCGTTGCTCTTAGCAGCAAGCATTTAAGTCAAACAAATAATAAATATTGAACTTTTTATGAAGACAATGTACCATTTTAAAAAAAGAAATGGAGGGCCACTTCATTAATTGCATGTATTTTGCTGGAATGACATGAAGTCTTGGGAAGACCCAATCCTTGTATGAGTAGTGAAATATACAAAGGATTTAATGTTGACTCTATTTTATTACACACACACACCCCTGTGCCCCTGCTCACTGTTTCACTCACCAGTCCCCCTGCCATTCTCCCCACATTAACCCCCAAGAGCTTCTCCTTCCCATCCCATGCAACTACAAAGGTTGCTTTTCACTTTCCCAGCCCCATTTCTGAAGTTACTTTTCTGTTCTGTTGTGCAGCCCCATTTTGCACCTGTTTTCACCATCCTCATTGCCATTCCTCCTACTCCCTCTCTTTTGTAGCCCCTTGCACCCAACTTTTCACATGCACCCCCTTTTTTCCTCCCCCTCTTCCTTTTCTCTCCACCACTCCCCCCACAAAACCCAGAAGATCTTTGACACTTGCAAAACATTTTGGAAAGTGGATAGTAAAGGAAAATCTAGTTGGCGATCAAACTGTGAAACACATCGAACAATGGATTTCTTTTATTATTATCTGAGCTATTTCTATACAGCTTAATTAGTGGAAATGTTTAAGTCATGGGCAAATTGGTTTTATTGAACACTAGGCGTGGTGGTGGTTGGAGGAGCCCTTTCTAACCCTCTTATGGAGCAGTTGTTCAGTGAAACAGCACGAAGTTAAAGAACTGTGTTCTCCTGTTATCTGATGGCTAGATGGGTTACCATTGCTGGCTTTGTGGGAAGAACAGCAACAGCAAGAAGCAATGGCAGCAACACATTCAGTCAGAGAAGCATAAAGAAAAAGTCTTCACATCGGAGAACGACTCCAGCTGCTGGAACTACCGTTTCCCAATGGGGGAGTTCCGGCTGTGTGAAAGGTACTGTGCACAAAACTACCCCTTTCTCATCTGGTTACATATGCAGTTAATATGTAACTCCAGATTAATAAAGAGAACAGTCCTTGGCTTCAGCTCTGCCTCACCCCATTGCCGTCTAGCCTTAGGAAGAGTTCTGAAGGACTCAGAAGCTTATGTACTGTTTTGTCACGTTTTGGTTGGCCTGGTAGAGTTATTGCCCTAATATTGATTTGGAATTTTCTAATGGGGCAGCACAGCTACTATTTACTTTTCCAGGTTAAATGTTTATTAGTAATAGGTGGAGAGGCACATCTATTTATTTATTTTTAATAGGCGGAGAGCCAGCTTTTATTTACCGCTGCCAATTCACTTTCTAACTGCTGCCACCAGATGTCTATACTACATTGTTTACCAACATCTTTAACTATATCTCAATAGCTGGTGAAATTCAGACATGGTACAAAACTGGCCAGACACACTTTCATAATAAAAGTAAGGTAAATATAAAGGGACCCCTGACCATTAGGTCCAGTCGTGACCGACTCTGGGGTTGCGGCTCTCATTTCGCTTTATTGGCCGAGGGAGCCAGTGTACAGCTTCCGGGTCATGTGGCCAGCATGACTAAGCCACTACTGGCAAACCAGAGCAGCGCACGGAAACACCGTTTACCTTCCCGCCAGAGCAGTACCTATTTATCTACTTGCACTTTGACATGCTTTCGAATTGCTAGGTTGGCAGGAGATAATAAAAGTAACAATATATAATTTACTATAAAGGCATGATAAGTTTGCTGTTGTTTCTTTAAGACTTACTTATGTTTGCTTTCATAAGATTATCATATCTTTAAACAACAGTTACAGTTTAGATGTTGCTCAGCTCCAGCTCCCATCATACCTGACAATTGACCCGGCTGGCTTGTTTGCCAAAAAAGTGTCCCTCTTTTGCCTTGGGCCCTTGCTATGTTTCGTAGAAAAAAACCCTTTGTAGTTTGAAATTAGTTTTCTGATGTCAGATACTGAAGAACTGAGGGAAATGGTTAAAAATGAAAAAAACCTAAAGTTTCTTAAGCCATGTGTTGTCCTCCTGCAGATTCCAGAAGACAAAATCCTGCCCTGAAGGGGAGAAGTGTCGCTCTGCTCATGGCCAGGATGAACTGACAGAGTGGCTGGATCGGAGGGAAGTCATGAAGCAGAAGCTGGCCAAAGCCCGCAAGGATATGCTGCTGTGCCCCAGAGATGACGACTTTGGCAAATACAGCTTCCTATTACGGGATAGCATATAATTTATTGAGGGTGGTGAGAAAACAGGCAGGTTTTCAGAACCAGAGATGTGGGAAGGGAAGGAGCAGGGCAGTGACAAAGAGACTGGTAGTTGTTCCACAAACCTTTCTTTGATTGTAAGATAATCAAGATGATTTACTGATGTTGAATGGGATTTTGAATTGATTCATCTATAGCCAGGGAACATGATGCTCCTTTTGTTGTTCTATCTCCCCTGCTCCCTTTTTAAAACATAATTTTTCAATCTACCACTTTTCAACTTAAAAAAAAAAGATACTGTTTTGCGGTGTTTGGTAAATAAGAGGGAGGGGGCTTCTCACTTTGGTTCCCAAGATCCTGGATCCTTTATTTGGGGTGCCTGATTGCTGGAATATTGCAGCATCATAGACATGAGCATAGAGAGATAGTGGAGAAATGATGAGCAAGTGGGGTTTTGTTCAGTGTTGGTGACTGTGCAGTGCTGTGTGCTGCATCTCCACAGACACCCAAACTATTGTGTAGAAGAATAAGGAAGTAACTTAAAACAAGCCCAGTTCAAGCTATCTTTAAAGTTTTGAGGTGACTCCGGTGGTTGCTGTAGGCAATAGTAAAAAATAAGGTCATATTTTTCTCTGTGTATTCTAAGATTACCTCCTCCTTTCTGCCCATTCCAATCCCTCTCAGGTGAGGGAGGACAATGAATTTCTAGTCCAGCTAGAAAGATTATCACTACATTGTCTTTGGAGATGGAGGCAACAGTATATTCCCTGCCTTCCCATATAGCTAATTCTGTTACCCAAAAAGCAAATTGATAACAGATTATTGTGTTGGACCTTTGTTTGATAAGCATAACTGTGAAGATTCTTCCTCCTACAGTTGGAGCAATTGCACAATGCAATCTTTACCTCTCCGTAGAGACACCTAAAACCAAGATGCTCTTTTGAGGATTGACACGTGCTTAAGAAAAAATAATGTTTGCAGGTTGTGCAGAGAGCCTGCTCAGTTGTTACTGAAAGTGTGCCAGTTCCACCTTAGTGGTCCCCCCGCCCCGTATTGGATAGATGTGTGTGTCTGCAAAGACCAAAAAGCAATGATAGCAGAAATGGACAGAAATTATGTAAAAGGAATCCAGTCGTTTAGATTAAAAAATGTTTGCCATATAAAAAGCAGAGTCAGGTTGGAAACCTTTTTTTTTTTTTTTTGCCATGTAAAATATGTGGTGCCACTCAGATAATAAAAAATGTAACTATACTTGAAATCAAAGATAGAATTAAATGCAAAGAGAGAAGTTAAAAATATTTCCACAAGAGAAACTGGTTAAACCAAGGTTACAAAGTAGGAGAATAAAACCTTTCTTGCATATGAATGTTTCATTTCCAAAACTAATATATTATCTACAAATAGCCTCCAGCAACGAGAACACATTAAATCAGCTTTCTGTCCCTTCTCTGACAGTGGACAAGGTTCCTAGAAGTCAATACGATCTCTTCTATATCAGTACTATTTAATACACCTTTTGAAGTGAGCTTCCAGAGGCTATCGTCCAAAGCATGCTTTCTATGAGTTAAGTTCCACTGAACGCCATGGGGCCTGCTTTTGGAGTAAGCATGTTCAGCACTGGGCTGTAAACGTCTGCAAAAAAATGATGGGAACATTAAACAAAACGTTCTGTGAAATGGGGGTTGAAGAAGGGGGAAAAAGTGCTTTCATTTTATGACACTTGGCATGATGTGTGTGTTGGACACATCTGTTCTGGATAAGAATGCAGGTGATCTAAAATGTGCAGAACTTATATTTTTGCAAGCTAAAATGCTCAGCACTTGTGACTGAACAAGTTGGCGCAAATCTATTTTTGGGTCTAAGAGGAAATGCACTAATATGTGTATTACAAATTAGTATGCAGTATTGGAATATTTGCTTTATGTTTTGCAAGCAGATGATGTGTGATCTAAATGAGGAGGATTTCATGCTGAGATGTATCTATCTAGGACCTGCAGTCTTGGTTATACTATCTATTTTATGAAATTGTCCAACTAAGAGTTTTTGATATTTAATCAAATTTTATAACCCTTTCCTACTTAAATAATATTAATTAATATAAGCTATCCCTATAGACATGAAGAGGCCCAAATAATTGTGATAAGGAAGGGGAAGTAGAGTGAGCAGGGGAACATAAGATCACTAGGTTAGGGTTCTCTGAAACCTTTTGTTGCTTTATTTTCTTTCTAACTGATGATCAGATGCCCCATTACTCATTTTTGTCAGTATCTGGCCTTCACACTTATTAATCCACTTGTACCTATCGTAAAACCAGTTTAAAGATATTTGCTCTTTTTATAAGCAAAACCAGCTACTTGTTTTCAAATAGGCTTATTTTGTTGGACGAAAAACTCGTATTCCTAAAGAGGAGATGTAGGTACTTTTCATTGCTATCTTCTAGGAGAAGGTTATAGCTTTTTGTGTGTTTAACTCCCAGTGAATGGTAGTCATGTACCCTGACCACCACCATTCCATGGAATAATCCACCCGTACTTTTCTTGAAAGCTATGATTCCCTTTTATTGATTTGATTATTCTAGAATTTGAAACAAAACCACTCATATCATGTTATGTGTCTTCCATTGGCCTAGATTTTGATAAAAAGGGAGTTGGCATTTTCTGCTGTCTTGCCAGTTTAGTAGTCTTAATTAATTTGACACTGGATTAAGCAAAGCCACAGAAATTCAACTGCAACTGAATGAGCCAAATTTCTCTCCTTCCCACACATAAGCATTCTGTGTATTTGCTTGTTGTCTACTTGGCCATTATGCTTTCAGTCTGTTGGTCCTATTTCTCAAAATACTGATGAGAGCAATTGACCAGCTTCTGGAGTTGAAATGTTAACCTATTTGGGACAGACAGAGGAAAACACACATAAGAAAATGGATGTTTAAAATTCTTAAACTATCTGCATCTAGAAATGTAACTATATAAGTGTATGCTCTACCATGAGTTATAATATGTGAATTTATTTAGATTATGGGGTGGGAAATGTTTCCTTTCCTCTTTAATTAAAAAATAAACTGCTTTGCAGCCTTTTTTACTCCAATCAATACTACTTTGATGGGGGAGAAAAGGGCTTTTGTGGTTTATGGAAGCAGAGTTTATAGGGGTGGGAACACATATTCCTGGGCATTGCAGTGAGAATCAACTTTTGTTTTTTCCTGATATGATAACCTGATATGTGGTGTTGCAGTATTTTGTCACTGGACTTGTTCTAGTGTGTATATATGTAACCCTTCCATAAAACATATATACACAGGTATTAAATATATCACTCTATATAATATTATATATGTATGTGGTATTGAAGGAATCTTTTTTTATTGAGGGTTAAGGAAAAGGACTCTAGCTAGGGAAATGCAGCATCTCTTATTGAAACAAAATGATGTTGGGGGGAGGAACAGTTCTGTTGCGTTGAAAAATAATTATTTATGTTGACAGGGGATCATTACTCCAATTAGTGGTGAACTCACCCATGTAAATATCTGCCCATTCCATGGAAAGAAATGTTCATCTAATAAATAAGGTGCTAAAGAAGGCCTTTTGATTATTTTCTTAAGAAAATGGACATTGTCAAGAGCAGGGGGTGGTACTTTGTCCTCTGTTTATCTTTCCCCCTTTGTCTTTATATAAATAGGATGGGATTATTTTTTGTGCTATGGCATCTCACTGTATCCATAGCACTAACAGTTCTTCAGTAATCAAGGGTGTCAGCCCAGTGCTCCAGAACAACTGAATAAAAGAAATAAGCATTTGGATAACTACCATAAATGACCTACCAAGGGAAAGATTTTCAGGAGGGCAGACACATCTGAGAATTATAATGAAATTAGGTCACTGGTTATGTTTTTTAATACTGAACAAACTGTGCTACAAAGAGCTTGGCAATGCCCCTTTCTTAACATAAAATAAAGTTATTGGTTCAGTCACTGTATTATAAAATGCTCAAAAAAAGGAGGGAGGACTCCTTTCCCAGATCCTCAAAGTTGAGGGAAGGGTAGGTTTGAATGGGATAGTGATTAACCAGGCCTTCAACCAGGCCATCCCTAAGAAATTGAGTGATAGGGGAAAGCCAGTGAAGGGAGATGCTATATTTCTAAGCTGATCTTGTAATAAGTTGGAGAGTCCTTCAAAATGTCTTTGTATTACTATATTTTAAGAATACCACGCTTTACTATTACAAAGAAATCCATAGTACCTTTCAGAAGGTCTAGTATCCAAGATAATAATGTAGATGTTCTAACAACTTTCTTGTTCCTAATGAGACAGATTTGCTTCTTTTAGCCTTTGTAATAGAAAATAAAAGTGTGCACTTTAAACCCTCACCGTGTGTGCTGTATTATTCCTTGGAACGAGAATGGCAAGGTGGCTCAGCTGTTTCTTCATGCATGGGCAATATGGCTGGTATGAAACATGATCAAAAGGTGATTCATTTGTGGCCTAGGATAGATATTTCTGTTTTAGCTACCTCTCATTTAAAATGAAATACCAAGTCTCATGTCACACAGTTCCCATGATGTCACTGCTCTCATTACTTACGTACTTCAGATGTGGGGAACCTCCAGATGCTGCTGAATTACAACTCTTATCATCCCTGGCAACTGGCCGTTCTTGCTGGGACTGTTGGGAGTTGTAGTTCAGCAACATGTAGAAGGCCAAAGTTTCCCTACCCTTGATGTCCTTGGTCAGCACTCCTGATCAAATGACTGTTGACCCATCCCACTTGTACGTACCACAATGACATTGGCATTGCTTACTGAAAAACAGAGTGGCAAGAATTTACTTCTACACCACTGGTTTGTTACCCAGGTGAGGGAACACCTGAAATAAAACATGGAACTAAGAGAATAAAAGCAAGTGCAACAGATCCAAGTTAGGGACCTAGTTTATTAACTACTGCACATGAGGACAGAACAACTTAATAATAAATAATAATAATAAATTTTACTTATATCCCGCCCTCCCCAGCCGAAGCCAAGCTCAGGGCGGCTAACAACACTAAAATAATACAACATTCTAAAATCATTTCATTAAAAAATTAATTCAAATCAAATTGATGGCAACCATTGGGCTAGAGTTCTGTGAAGATTGCCAAAGGAGGGAGTCAGGCTGTGCCCTGGCCAAACTTAGCAGGGTTGTTCTTGCCAAACTGCCAGTTAAGAGAGTCTGCCCAGAGGCAAATCAGAACAAAGCTTATACAGTATAGTAGTTCAAGCACAGCACTCTTAAAGAGTCATAAAACATCAAGCCTTCTACTTACATCTACCCCAGCCAATAAGGCCAGTGGCCAGGGATGGTGGGAATTGTAGTCCAAAAGCGTTTGGAGGGCCACAGGTTTTCCAACTGTAGTATAGACTGGCTAAATATGCAGATCATGCTTGATTTTTAAAAAATGATAATCAGCAGGAGAGAAGTCCAGAGGAAGATCTTCTGAAACTCTAATTCTGCCTACATGCAGTAAAGTGTGTGCAAAGGAGAGAGAGAAAATGTATGTAAACCATTAAACTTGCTGCATGGTTCACATTCATGTAAATCCTGCCTAATCTGAGAGGCGGTGCCTGTGCCATGCAGGAAGGTGGTTATGTACTTTATAAGCACATTGACAGTTCTTGTTGCTATTTAGAGATCTTAGCACATGGCCCATACATTCATGGGGCTTGTGGCCTTATTACAAAGAGTTGTGTACAGTTAGCTTGGTGTACTTCACTATACCTCAGGTTAATCAGCTCTTCAGTCTCCCAAGCTTCTATGGTAGCAAATTGCCACAAAGCAAATTGCTGTTTGAAGATGTCAATAATCACAATTTAGGGTTATAAATACATGTAACCATGATTGGCGCTTTTGGCCATATAGTATTGTAGTGCAACTTCATCTGAGACAATATTTCAAATATGTGACTTAAAGCATTTTTTTCTCACCTGCTGCTGATGTGCAGGTGTAAAAGACGAAAAAACAACAACCCTGGAGTGAAAGTTCACAAAACGGCTTGCTGATGCCTTGTGGAGGGATGGAAGAGGCCTGTTACTTTGTGGTGGGGTTTTTTTTAAATCAAAACTGGTGTCAGATGATTATACCACCCATTGCTGATCAAAGTGAGGGGAAGTACACAGCCAACGAAGAGTCTTAACTTTGAGAGGAAAAGGGGAAATGGAAGTCCATGGGATGGTGTGGGCCACAGGAAGTGCTTATTTTAGGATATCACATGTACTGTTTACTAATAATTGGGACATTCATGCCATCACACACTGATTGGCATGAGGACTACTGAGGTCAGGCAAAGGACGTCAGAAGAGCTCTGCCTGATCTCACTGTGGCCAGCTAGGTGCCTGGGGGGAGCCACAAAAAGGACATGAGCACACACGGCACTCTGCCCTCAGTCTGGATTCAGTCACTGGCTAAAAGGTCCAGAGGCTTTTCTCCCTCATAATATTAAAGCTGGGCAAGATGGCAATGAAGCTGAATGTTAGAAGCACAAAGCATAAAGGAAAGGAGGTACTTCTTTACACAGCACATAGTTAAACTACAGAATACGCTCCAGTAAGATGTAGTGATGTCCACCAAGTTAAATGGCTTTAGAAGGACTGACAAACTCATGGAGGATAAAGCTAAGTCCTACCTCTGCCTTCAGAGGTAGCATTCTGTGTACAGTGGTACCTCGGGTTAAGTACTTAATTCGTTCTGGAGGTTCGTACTTAACCTGAAACTGTTCTTAACCTGAAGCACCACTTTAGCTAATGGGGCCTCCCGCTGCTGCAGCGCCGCCGGAGCACAATTCCTGTTCTCATCCTGAAGCAAAGTTCTTAACCTGAGGCACTATTTCTGGGTTAGCGGAGTCTGTAACCTGAAGCGTATGTAACCCGAGGTACCACTGTATCAGTTTCCAGGGAGTGCAAGTGGGTCCAATGCCATTGCACTCAGGTCCTGCAAATGGGAAAGAATACCGGGCTAGATCCAGCTTACGTTCTCTTAGGGCTGCAAGGGACAGGGTTCTACAGGCCCTCTTCCATCCAAAGAAAAGGCTGCTTGGCTGTCCTAAGAACGTCAGAGGCTGCTGGATCAGGCCAGTGGCCCATCTTGTCCAGCATCCTGTTCCCACCGTGGCCAACCAGATGCCTGTGGGAAATCCCCAAGCAGGTTCTGAGCACAAGAGTCCTCTCCCCTCCTGCAGTTTCCAGCAACTTGTATTCAGAAGCTTCGCTGCCTCTGTGGAGGCAGGGTCATTGTGGCTACTAACTACTCATGGCCTTCCCCAAGGATCGTCTTGTCAGTTGCCCCAAAACTGTAGGTAGGTGAAAGAAAAAACATACCGGCTGCAGTCATTGGTTAGTGGCTTAAGAACAGGTGGGAGGTTGCCCATCCCTCAGAGCAAGAGCAGACATAACAGCTACCATCTGCTCTCAGAGTCAGTGCCATGCGGGAAGGATGGCTACGCAAGAGTTAGGAAAAATTCAATTATATTTTTTTAAACAATTATTTACAAAATATTTGTACAAGTTGCTGAGAGCCTTAAGTGGCATGGGACATAAATTGAATAATTACATAACCGTTTGAAACTGTTGGGAAACTTTCTCAGTTTTTTGTTTTGTTTTCAATTTGTGATTAAGTGGTTTGCCATGTTTGGCTATGTATTCCTAACATGATCCAAATGCATTAGGCAGCTATGAATGATCAGGTTTGGCAAAGCGCTGGAAGAATGCTTCCAAGTCTCTGTTAATTAACTTCAGTTTTTACTGGTTTTAGTTTCTTCATCCAAACACATAGTTTTCTAGATGGGATTCAACCACCTGGTCACCATCTGGTAATTCTGATATACTTTTTTTCTTTTAAGTGTATAATCACTATCATTCTATTTGGAATTTTATTTTCTTCCCCAAAGGCAGCTGTTTCAGCTATTGGTGTATCATATCCACTGTGCCCAAGAGAACTGGCAACTAATCTGATACATTAAAGAGAACATTTGGCTGTGAACATGTTGGAGACTTGGGTTCAAATTCTCACTCAGCTATGGAGGTCTATTCTACAGATCTGGTGGGACACAGTGGTACCTTGGTTCTCAAACTTAATCCGTTCCGGAAGTCCGTTCCAAAACCAAGGCATGCTTTCCCATAAAATGTAATGCAAAATGGATTAATCCATTCCAGACTTTTAAAAACAACCTCCAAAACAGCAATTTAACATGAATTTTCCTATCTAACGAGACCATTGATCCATAAAATGAAAGCAATAATGTACTGCAGTCACACAATCAATCAGTAGCTGAACTGGGTTCCACATGGTCACACACCAAGAAAAGAGCCACATAAACACAAAATAAATAGCAAAAACAGACAGACCTCAGCGTAACTCTCCAAACGAAAGTGTGGCACTCCAAACAGAAGTGTGGCACTCAAATTGGAAGTGTAACACTCAAAATGGAACACGTTCTACTTCCGAAAAAAGTTCGCAAACCAGAACACTTACTTCCAGGTTTGCAGTGTTTAGGTTCCAAGTTGTTTGAGAACCAAGGCATTTGAGAACCAAGGTACCACTGTATTTGGTCTATTCTCTTGTGGTGACAATGGTATTCAGCTTTCAGGCTGCTAGGCTAATTAGGCTTGGCACACCCACAAATGTGACAGGGGTGTGTGTGTGTGTGTGTGTGTGTTTTGCAGGTATTTCAGTTCCTTGCACTGGGCAAGGATCTTGCAGGTAAGGCCTCCAGGCTCCAAGCAGTGTGTGGGAGGGACTTGTGTAACGGGTGCCAGGGAAGAGCTGAGGCTTGTTAACATTGCTTCTGGGCAACTTGTCTGGGTGTGAAGCGTGACTGGGGGATGGGATAGCTGACTGCACCCATTGGAATAATCACAGTTTTAAGCAGGCTTTGCAACACCTATCGCTACTGGACTGAGATGCTGACATAATCACACAACTGATTCAAAATGGTACCAGTCTGTCTCTTTGTATAAAATAGACGGCACACACTCCATCCAAAGAACCCTGGGAACTGTAGTTTGTTAAAGGTGCTGGGAACTGTAGCTTTGTGAAGGGTTAACTCCAGTTCACAGGATTTAGGGGACGTTGCCTTAAAGTATGTTATGTTCACAGTGTGATAAAGTATTTGAACATAATTAGGAACATGATGCCTAGTAAAGCATGACTTAAAACTGATGACAAACGTAAGAAGATTAATTGGCAGCTTTGGATGATCCCTCTCAGTATCAAGCTTATATAGCATTAGGAATTAGAGTTATACTTGAGACCAGAAGGGCTCTAAACTTGCCCTGTGGGCCTCTAGATATTGCTGCACCTCTGTTCTCACCATCCCTGGCCACTGGCCTTGCTGGGT